CGCTTCAGCTCAGGAAGCTCCTTGCTGCAGTCCACGATGCGGACATTGGCAGAGCCACAGCGGCTGAGCGCACTGGCAATGACGGCCTCGTTCTCGATCGGATTCATACTGCAAGTGGAGTAGACAACCCGACCGCCGACCTTCAGCATCTGCAGAGCACGGACAAGAATGCGAACCTGGGTGGCGTGCAGGCCGAGAGCATTGTTCGCGTTCCAGTCCTTCCAAACACCCCAGTTCTTGCGGGCAGTTCCGTCACCAGTGCAGGGCACGTCGGCCAGGATACGGTCGAACTTCAGGTAGCGGGCCTTGCCGGGCTTGCCGTTGACGCTGGGCTCGGAGGGCAGCTTGATCGAGGGGAACAAGGTAGCGTCGTGGTTGGTGACAATCAGGTTCGGGGAGCTCAAGCGCTTCATCTGGTGGATAAGCATGTGGGCGCGCTTGTAGTCGGCGTCGTTGGCGATGAGCAGGCCTGTGGTTCTGCCATCATCGTTGAGGCCCTCGGGGCCGATAGGCTCCTCGCCAGCGGTACCCTCAGCAACCTGCTGGGTAACCTGGCGCATAGCCTCTTCCTCACCAGTGTGAACCATCTCCATCAATTGTGCAGACTTGCTCCCAGGGGCAGCACACATGTCCAGAACCGTCATTCCAGGCTTGAGATCGATCAGGAGTGGGGGGATCATGCTGACGACCTCCTGTCTGCTGATGTTGCCGACCTCGGTCTCGGCGACGAGGAACTTCTGGAAAGACGCGAAGGGCGCAAAGCGACGAACGACCTGCTTGGGGGTGGTCATGGACCATGCGAGCTCGTCGGGATACCAGGGGACCGGGCGAGGGGGCTCGACGAAGTTGCCCTCATATTTAATGGAGGTGATCTCGGGAACGTATTGATCCTTGAGCTTCTTCTGGACGGCAAGGGCATGGCTGTGCGATCGTGCATGTCAGCAATGAGCCAAGTATAGCCTATCGCGCAGCTTTCAGCTGCGGGGTTGCTACGCAACGATGGGCTCTTTTTTTGTATTTCTGCGCATAACGTACCCTCGAGAGCCAGTGAAGCGGAAACTGTTGGGGAGATCCCTCTTGAGAGCGGCCCAGAAAGCCTCCTTCTCCTCCTCCGGGACGAAACCCTGGGAGTTGTAGTAGTTCTCGAACTTCTCGTTCTCCCTGGAAATCTGCTGCCAGTTCTTGCGCTCGCCGCCTCTGCCACCACCCTGCGACCGAGGATCAGCATGAATTCGGGACGACACGAGCCGAATCAACCGAGAGCTGCGGTGCTCTAGAGGTCGGAAAGGATTCAGAAGGCCACACATACCTTCTTTCCGCGTTTACCCATGATGATCGAGTGGTAATGTGAGAGATTGGAGTGGGCTGGGACTGGCCGCAATTTCTCCGCTGCAGAAATCTTATCAGCAAAGCTCGCCCGCTCGCCATGGGCGCTTATGTAACGGGTCTGGATTGCATCCAAGCTAGTCCTAAAACAGCCGTCGTCTATAGAGGCCCGGGGCAGTATTGCTTTTGGGGTATAGATTCTTGCCCAATTGACGGGCAACTTTCTCTGAATTGGAAGAGAGTAAGATTCTGCCGGTACGTTGATGATATTTCTAGCACTTGTCTTGGAGCAATCTATCATAACAATTCACCCAAGCAAAATCACAACTTACCGCATCGATACATGACCACACTTCACCAGATGTGATATCAGATACCAAGGATTCGAACATGGATGCTGCAGCCATTACACAAGCTGCCTGAAGACTGAGCTACAGAGTATCCCCATACCTGCATGTTGACTCAGCCAATTACCATGCATTGGACCCATTAAGTAGTGCTTCAAACTATTCGACGCAGGAAAGTTGACACCTTTGTAAAGTAAACCATGCTACAGCATAAACAAGCACAACAAACACAACACTTGCTCTGCGACCCTGGGCACCAGTCGTCATTGTGCATCAAAGATGCAGATAGCCCTTGCATCCCGCTGCGTCAACTCTATATCGCCAACGCATAGAATCACCGCCTCGTGGCTGACAGACCGGCATATAAGAACAGCCTGTGGACGACGTTGTAGACACTGGCCTCTCCATGGCTGTAATGTTCTCGTGTTTCTCCTCGCCTAAGTAAAGCCAAGCAGTCTCAGAATCCGAGCAGTGGTATTGACGCTTACGCCAAGTGATGAACGTCGAGCACATCGAGTACTTGTCCGCCTCGTCTGTCGGTTTAGAGCAACAACCGGACGCAGGATATCCGGAAGGAGGCTTCAGAGCATGGCTGGTCGTGTTCGGAGCGTGGTGCGCCTTGGTTCCAGCCTGGGGGATACTGCACACAGCTGGGGCGATTTACCTCTGGACCAGCACGCATCAATTGCATAATTACGAGCCGGCGAGCTATGGCTGGATTTACAGCGCGTATGGGTTCTTCGTCTACTTTGCGGGAGCGCCGATGGGTGTGTACAGATAGCTGCACTGATGATACGGAGACAGAAGAACTGATCGTCCGAGCTAGGGTTGATCTTTGATGCTTGGGGACCGACTTTTTTGGTCCTTTCGGGGTCAGTGGGCATGGTACTGTCTTTGATTTGCTTCAGCTTCAGTGACGGTAATGTTGTTGAAAGAACTGGTACGATAGCAGCAGCAGCTAACGATACCCAGAGTACTATTCAATCTTCCTCTCCCTCAGCTTTCTAGGTGGGCTATCGGCCAGTGCGCTCACCACGCCAGCCATGGCAACCATAAGCCACTGGTTCGAACGTCGCCGGGCCTTTGCAACCGGCGTGGCCTGCACCGGCGGCGGACTCGGAGGGGTGATCTTCCCCATCATCATCTACTTTACCGCGCCGAAGATCGGATTCGGGTGGTCGATCCGCATCATCGCGCTCATCAGTGCTGCCCTGCTCTCCATTGCTTGTTGCCTGATCACGACGCAGCGACCCGTCAGGACAGACAACTGTAGAGAACTGACCCTCAAGCCACTGAAAGACCCTCGATTCGCCGCCACGACCGCTGCCATCTTTCTGACGGAGTGCGCCGTCTGCATCCCGAGCACATATATCCCCTCCTACACCGTGCACGCGGGACTGAGCAACCTCATCGCATACCTGTTGCTCGTTTTCCTGAACCTCGGAACCATCCCCGGCCGACTCCTGCCGCCTCTCGCCGCCGACCGCCTCGGGCGCTTCAACACGATGATCGTCACGATTCTCATGTGTGGGATTCTGACCCTCGCCCTCTGGAACAAAGCAGGGGACAGTCTCGGAGCACTCGTGTGCTATGCCGTCGTCTTCGGGTTCTGGTCCGGTGCCGCGCTGAGCCTGTCGCCCGTCTGCATCTCCCAGACATGCAGCGCCACGGAGTACGGAAGCCGAAGTGGCATCGCATACAGTATTGCCAGCATCGGGATGCTCTTGGGGATCGGGCTTGCGGGAGTGATCGAGCAGCACAGCTATAGGGGCGTCATTATTTTCGCCGGGGTGTTGTTCCTTGCGGCTGCAGGGGCATTCGTCGTTGCTCGAGGGGTGTGTCGTGGCTGGGCGTGGGGAATCAGGTTTTGAGTGGGATGCATCATGCAGGTTCGTTTAGGATAGTGCTTATGCGACCAGCCACTGGATCATAGAAGTACCATCATTCTTGGTGCTTGCGTGCACTCTTCTGTTGAGGCTGGGACAATGTCCATAAGGAGGGGACTACGATCTCTGCACATCCAGCATGCCATTATCCGGACGTTAAAAAGCCTCGCATGGTCCATCACCAATCAGCTATATTCCTGTTAGCGAATGGAATCATGGATCCGAAGTCTTGAGTTTATACATCCTTGGCGAATTCTTGATATCACCGTAGACAACAAGCACCGCAACGCCAACAAGGATCCTTTCAGCTGGAAAGGAAAACAGACGAGCTGAAACACAAAGACACCAAGCTGAGATCCCTATATAACAGTGACCATGGCTCAGCCGTCGGGAGCGGGTTTGTCCTCACGGGACAAAAAAGCTTGGGTTGGCAACTAGACGCCCTAGGGCGTATACTAGACCAGGGTCCGATGCAGTCAGCAGTCAGCAGTCAGCAATAGGGGGTAGTCAGTCTACCGGTATCATCTCGAAAGTAGGAATAAGAAGGGGGAAATGAAAGCACGGGAGATAAGTACAGTACCTCGTACCTGAATCGATCCAATGCAATGCATCTGAGTACCTTTGGTCGTTGTTTCAAACCAAGGCTCAAACGGGGCTGAACCCGGGGGGGGGCTGAAGTGAGCGAATTCCACGGGCTCGTCTACACAGCCAAGATGCCCTAGTCTACCTCATTTTAGTCGTAAAGTCTCAGGGACGATCTGTTCTCATCAAGATAACTTCGTGATTGAAATCCTTTTTCTGAACTCTCAACCTCAGGATAGCAATGGAGTAACGTACCTTGTAGAGAGTCAAGCACAGTAAATAAGTGAACCCCTGAGAAGCGATGTACCATACCTGCTCATGTTTGAGGTGGCTTCCTGGTGTTGGCCCCCAACGGGCAGCACGCGTGCAAATCTAGGGCCAAAACTTGGGTCTGTCTGTCCGTCAGTGCCACGCAAGGCGTAAAGCATAGCATACAAATGGATGTATAGCGTCCAACCCCTGCGGATCTGGGGCTGATTCCCGTGAGTCTCTTTTTGTACGAGTCCTGTACACGAGCACCACACATCCCACCACACCGGGACCAAGAAAAAATAAGCCTCCTAATCCTTCGTAGTGTCTTGTGCAGTGAAAGGGAGTAGGCAACCTCGTACTCGGCCCCATCGCCATGTCTTGTCTTATTTAAGGAGGCCATGCCACGCCCACTGCATTGGCCGCAGCCCTCAAAATCCAAATCTGAAGAGTTGACTCTCAGCCTACTAGTCCTAGAGACTATCCTTTCGTTGATACCCTCCACTCGTCCCTCCACTCGTTCAACACCGTCATTCATTAACCAACTCCTACTACTAAACCCGTATCCATCCTACTCATCCCCCTTCCCCCCGAGAACAGAAAATTCACAATGGGCGAAGGTCAAGAATGGTCCAACGGCTTCTGGGACTGCTGCTCCCCATGCAAGATCTGTACGCCTTTCCCTCCTCCATTCCCCTTCCTCCCATCCGACATCACATCGCCATCCCCACCCCAAAACTAACCAGAAAAAAACAGGCTGCCTCGCCTTCTGGTGCCCCTGCTGCCTCTTCGGCCGCACCGCCTCGCGACTCAAGGACCCAGCGCTGAAGGAGCATGGCTCGATGAACGGTGATGTATGCAGCAGTACCCACCCAACCCCTCAAAAACAATCCCCCATCTAACCCAAAAAAAAAAAAAAAAAACAGTGCTGCCTCTACTGCCTCGTCGGCTACTGCGGGCTAGGCTTCATCCCGCTAATGCTGAAGCGGGGCAAGCTGCGCGAGAAGTTCCAGCTCCAAGGGTCCGGGTGCGGCGACTGCTTCAAGTCGTTCTGCTGCCCGTGCTGCACGCTGATGCAGAACGAGAAGGAGGCCGAGAGTCGGGCGGGCTTGCTGGAGAAGGGCGGGTATCAGACGCCTGCGGGGATGGAGTATAAATGATTTTGTTTCCGGTGCTTGACTGTAAGGATTGAGCTGGGAGGTTTGTTATGATTCTTGTACTTAGGTTGGATTTCCTGGGGGGATAATTGGGGGTTTGAGTTTGGATGCTTTGGAAGCGTTGGGTTTGGGCTTGGGTTTGGGTAGCTTACCTTTCATTTTTGTTGCTGCGGTGGGTCAGGGATAGATGGTTCGTTCCCGTTCCAAATACTTATCCCGATACCTCTACTCATACAACACCTAAAGTGCAGCTGAACTTGAACAAACAATACATTTTGATATAGCGACAGTTGTGTACTGTACAAGACACGCTTCCTCGGCACGACCACCGCTTCTATCTATTAAAAATCACCAAAACTAGAAACACTTGCCATAATTCCTGGTGGACAACGCAACAGACACCCCTCACCGACACCGAGCTCAACCCATTTAAGCAGCGTTGCGGCTCATGTCCGAGCGGAGACGCTGGTAGTCGAGGATACCCTCGATGCTGCCGACGGCGCTCATGGCGATGTCCTGATCCCACAGCTTGCGCTGAGCGAAGTCCATGACGTGCTTCTCGGTGATCTGGCCGATCGTGCGCTCGACGTCCTCGGGGCTGAGGCGGCGGCCGGTCGTGATGATCTGGCGACCGATGTCTTCGGCAACGGCGGTGGTGCCGTCGAGGGAGAGGAGGATCGAGGCCTTGAGCTGGGCCTTGGCACGCTCGACCTCGGCGGGGGTGACGCTGAAGGACAGGCGAGACCACTCGCGGAGAGCAAAGTGGCACAGGTCATCGAGGTTGGTCAGGTTCTCGGAGACGAGGTAGATACCCCAGAGACTAGTGGCACATGTCAGTCAGTAACGCGTCATTGCATGTCACAGTATACCAAGAAAGCTTACCCAGTATCGCTGTAGCTGGTGGAGAAGCTCATGAAGCTGTTGGCGAGGCCGTGGTGCTCAACCAGGGAGCTGAGCTTGCTGCCAAGGTAGGGGGAGTTGCCCATGGCACGGTCCCAGTTACCGACGATGGCCTGGGCAACCAGGGCGGTGAAGTAGTCGTCATCCTTCCAGCTGACACCCTCGACGGCAAGGGCGATGTGAGCGGTGGGGAGGGTGTCGTCACGGACTCTGACCTCAGAGCCGATGAACTCGGGGGTACGCTTTTGCTCGGCGGTGAGGGCCAGGGCAGCAGAGGTCGGGGGCTTGCTGGGCAGGGCACCGAAGTGCTCCTCAGCGAGTCTCACGAGCTGCTCGTGGGGGATGCCACCGGCACCGACCAGGACCATGCGGTCGGCGGTGTAGTTGGTCTTGATGTAGTCGACCAGGTTGTCACGGGAGATGGTCTGGATGTTCTCCTTGGGGCCGAGGATGGTGCGGCCGAGGGGCTGCTGCTGGAAGGCAGTGGCGTGGAGGTGGTCGAAAACGACCTCCTCGAGCTGCTTGTCGACCTCCTCCTGCTCACGGAGGATGACGTCGCGCTCGCGCTCAATGGCACCGGGCTCCAACTTGGAGTTCTGGAGGATGTCGGCGAGGATGTCGACGGCCTTGGGGACGTCGTTGTTGAAGGACTTGGCGTAGTAGACGGTGTTCTCGCGCTGCAATCGGGCGTTAGTCGCGATTCTCAAGTAAACTTTTCCTTCCGGTCCGTACCGAGGTGTAGGCGTTCAGGTGAGCGCCCATGTTCTCGATCTCAAGCTCCAATTGGTGCTGGGAACGCTTGTTGGTGCCCTGTAATGATATCAGAGCGTTAGCTACCGCGTGCAAATAGAATCCGTCCTGGGATACATACCTTGAAAGCAAGGTGCTCCAGGAAGTGCGCAGTGCCGTTGGTCTTGTCAGTCTCTGCCCGGCTACCGGCATCGATCCAGACGCCAACGGTGGAGGTCTGAGCATAGGGGGAGTGCTCAGTAGCGATCTAGATCCCGTCAGTGACTGTCAGAAGCAATTGAAGCCAGATACACGACAGCGCATACCGTGAAACCGTTGGAGAGGGTGGTGGTCTGGGTGGAAGAAGGCAGGGTAACGGGAGAAGCGAAGCCACGCTTGACGGGCTGGACAGCCTTCAGGGCAGCCCGGCTCCGCAGAGCCTGGTTGAGGTTGAACGCTAGGCGCCTAGAGGCCATTGTGTAATAGATGAGGTAGGTGAATTGGAGGGAGGGGGAGGGGGGAAAAGAGGGAGAATGAAGGAAGGGTGTAACAAGACGGTCAGCGCCTGGAGATGGCGAGGTTGAAGTTCGGGAGTCAAATTGTTCGCCCATCCGCCAGCCAATCACATGACCCGCTTTTCCAAACCACCGCTTTCGATCCCGACTGTTTCCTTAGCACTGGCCATACCGTACATTCATCCAGGTTTCATTTCACTGTACAGCATACACCATACTACAACACAGCAGCAGCAGCAACAGCTTCAACTACAACCATCACCACAATTGACATTCCCATTTATATCCACATTCATCCAAACCGACTCGCATACTGCCGAATATTCTCCATCATAGACACATCCTCCACAAACCCCAACCCCAGCGCCCTAGCCGTATTGAAATTCGGCGTCCACGTCTGCACGATGCGATCCACCACTGGATCATACTTCTCCTCGACCAACGCCCTACGCTCCGGCCCGCCCACCTCCTCCAACGCCTCCAACATCTCCTGGATACTAACCAACAACCCGGGCAAATTGACCGCCCGAGAATCCCCAAACGCCGCGGCGGGCACCTCGCGCGCACGGACAAGATTCCTCACCACCGTCTGCGGCGAGCAGATCCACATGCGCGTGTCTTTGCCGACGGGCAAAACCGCCTTGCGCCCGTGGAACGGCTCGCGGATGATGTCGCTGGCAAAGCTGCTGGCGGCCTGGGTGGGATTGCCGGCGCGCACGGTCACGGTGGGCAGGCGGACGGCGCGGCCGTCCAGGAAGCCGCGGCGCGAGTAGTCGTTCAGCAGCATCTCGATGATGAGCTTTTGCGAGCCGTACGAGGACGCCGGCACCGCCGGGAAGTTGGTCTCGTCGATCACGAACCCCGGCGGCGCGGGCCCGTACACCGCCAGGCTCGACGTAAACACCACCTTCACCCCGGGGGTCACGGTGCGCAGCCGGTCGAGGATCTGCCGCGTCGCGTCCAGGTTGACCCGCATCCCCAGCTCGAAGTTGGCCTCCGACCCGCTGGACATGATCCCGTGCAGGAGGTAGACGGTCTCGTAGGGCTGCGCCGCGGTGAAGAGCTCGTCGACGACCGTGGGCGAGGTCAGGTCCGCTTCCAGGCAGCGGGTGCGCGAGGCGTGCTGCGCGGCGGATGCGGGGACGGTGGGTGTGACCACGTCCGTCAGCGTCACGGTCATCTCTGGGTAGCTGGATAGCAGCGCCGCGGCCAGTTCCTGGCCCACGTAGCCGCTGGCGCCGGTGATGATGATTGACATGTCGTAGTTCTGGATGTCTCTCTGTCGCGAGGCGGGTTTCAGAGGTGAGATTGTAGGGTAGGTGGTATCAGGTGGTTGCTTACGGTGCTGAGGAGTAATGGTAAAGTCTATATACCAGCACGCTGCGGGGTTCGAGCGGAGAGGATGCTAAAGAGTAGGTAACGCACTCCACGGCTCCACGCCCTCGGAATGACCATCCTGCTTTTCCATCAATCACCACAACATGATTGACCAACGCCCGGTGATCTGGGTTGAACGCAGCAAGTCCGAACCCGGTGGCTGGTCGTTCACTCCATCGGCACATAATCCGACTGCCGAGTTAGGCTACGACCGGACAGCCGGCGAAAGTCCGAGATATCACAGACTTGGTCCACACATACGCAGCGCTATCATGTTACGTTCTCCGTATGACATATCACCACGGATCCAGGTATCTACATCCACCTGAAGCAGTGGGTACACTCACACAATGGAGTTCTTAAGCAGTCAACAAGCTAGAGCATACATTTAGACCAACCAGATATCGTAACCCTCGAATTTCTGTCTCAAGAAGTACATTTAGGGAAACCTAGACAAGGACACGATTTGATAGAGCGACCAAATATAGAGAAAAAAAAAAGTTGAAGCATTTCAGCATATCACGGAACACTCGACGCCGGTTGTAAAGAGCATAAATAATTAAAACATGAGAAAGCAGACCACCAGATTCTTTTTGTTCTTTAAATTCATGCAGAGCGCTTGTAGATACCAGACACTATACAGTGGTCACGTTCGAAGGGCTCCAAGGTCAGCTGCTCCTTGGGCTTGATTCTCTCCTCTCTCATCTTCTGGACTTCGCGGGCGAACACAACCTCGGGCTTGGCGGTACTGTCGATACAGTTGGCCTTGACGGAGACGATGACACCACCCTCGTTCTTGAGGAACATGTGGGCGTTCAGGCCGACGATACGGGCCTGGTCGGGCTGGGCAACATCGGCGAAGATGACGTCGACCATGGGGACGAGCATGCGGTAGCGGAGGGGGTGTCTGGCGTCCTCGACGATGGGAATGACGTTGGTGCGGTGGGTGGCCATGCCGATCAGATCACGGCCGGAACGGTGAGAGAACTCAACGGCGTAGACGTTACCGGTAGGGCCGACGATATCGGCAACGTGGGAGACGGAGGTACCGCTGGCGGAACCGAGATACAGGACCTTGGAGCCAGGGCGCATGTAGATGTCATCGAGACCACCCAGGATACCGGCAGCCAACTTGGAACGGAAGGGGTTCCAGACACGGTACTCGGTCTTGGTCACAGCACCATCCTGCTCGGCGGGAGACTCGACGGCAATGCGCTTCTCGCCGTAGACAGCCTCTCCGGGAGTAAGGTTCTTGGTGACGAGCAAATCTTCCTTACCACCACGGGCAACGAAGACACCGGCGTGACGGTGGGGCTCCTACGCAGAGGATGTCAGTTGACAAAATCGTTGGGGCGTGAAAGCAAGGATAACACTTACGATGATGACCTTAGCACCACCGCGAGCACCGCTGGCACCACCGCGGCCACCACCACGGGGACCACCACGGCCACGGGGAGCACCACGACCGCCACGGCCACCACCACGGGGGCCACCACGACCACGGCCACCGCTACCAAGACCGCCTAGAGATCGCGAACAGAACGAATTAGCATCCAATCTCCCAGAAGGACACCGCAGGTCAGGTCGAGTATGTCTGCATTCGAGAGCAAAGCACATGAAACCAGGTCTGAAGATGCAGGTCCTGGAATCACTGTGTGTCGCAATCGGAATGGCACACACGCACACACAAAAAAAGACTGCTCAGTCCCAGGTTGGAGTTGTCGTGAACAAACCTCTGCCACCGCGACCACCACCACCGCCACGGGGGGCACCACGACCACCACCGCGTCCTCCTCTAGGGGCACCGAAACCCATTGTGTAAGTTATGTGTGTCGAAAAAAGTTGACGGAGATGAAAAGATCAAATGTTATCAGCCGGAAAAAATTTGGCTGATGCTCGAGTTTGCGGTTGAAGAAAAACCTCCGTAGGTGATTGAGAGACAGGGAGTTCCGTTCGGGAAGGATTGAAAAAATTTTCGGAATAGGGCGAAGTGTCGAGCACCTTAAATCAAAGACTTTTGTTCAAAAATCGTCTCCGCACTGGCGTTCAGTGTTCGGTCGCGGCCGTGCTGCTCGTCGTTGTTGCGGTCGAGATTTTTCAGACGGAGCCTTGGGAATCTTTCGAAAATCAGGAAGCGCTACGGCGGTTCGGGTCTAGCGCCTCACTGCTGCTGTGGGCACTCGGAGCACGTGACGCAGCAGAATAGCGAGATCACCTGACTGTGACAGCCCTGCCAATCGGAGGTTGCCTTCGCTATCCGCCCATAAGCTTTACTAAGTACAGTACTAGGTACAGCTGCAGTACTACTCATTCCCGGCGCTTACAGAAACACTCCTACAAGTTCCGGCCGTGACATTAAGTTCACGTTTCAAGAATTCAAGTGTGGTCATCAGATTGATCTCGTTACTGTTGGCCATCTGTTCAATCAGTATTGGACTATTTACATCTCCTACGGCATCGAATACCCCCGCTACCATCATCAGAAACCTCACGACTCCCCGTAGAAGTAATACAGCGCCGCATATTGAACCGTGAACGTCGACTGCATGTTCTTGCACGTGTCTGGCGCAGCTCCCGAGACGGTCGTCACCCGGTAGACACTCTTGTAGTCTCCAACCGTCCCGTCGATCGAGGTGAGATAGAGCCAAGGGACGGCCCCGGTGCTGCCCTTGACAGCATCGGAGGGGGCATCAACAGAGCTTTGTTTCTTGGTAATGGCGATGCCATTCTGCTGTGTGGATGTGGTATCGAGGTTGAAGACCGGAGTCGAGGTACCTTCGAAGTAGTGGTGGCCCAGGAGGTCCAGTTTCGCCGGAGGGAGGGCGTCCTCCTCCACACTGGGCAAGGAGATCTTGTACGCCAGGTCTGGCAGCTGCTCCAGCAGGGTCGGGTAGTTGGCTGCAATGCAAGTTGCATCGTAAAGGCGTGCCACGGCGCCGATGGCCACGGGAGTGGAATTCGAAGAGGAGGTCGCACAGGTATAGTTCTATGGAGGCTGTCAGCTTGGGGACGGCTTTTGTCGCATTTGGGCTAGGGACTTATCGGATACTAACCTGGGTGCCACGTCCAACTGCCACGTAGAGTGGCGTCAAGCCAGATGGAGATGGGAGGTTCGAGGCGTACGATGGTAGCGAAATCTTTGATGTGTCACAGGTCGTTGCGCTAATAGCAACCTTCTCGATCTCCTTGCTCACCTCCCCAAGAAATGAGGCCATTTCTTGAGAGTAGTCGTATATATCATCCAGCCATGTGGGGGCTGCAAGAGCGCCTGCTGCGAAGCATGCGAGGAAACAGAGACTAGGCCGCATCGTGGCTGGTATGCCAGGCACTTTCTATGCTTTGATGTGGATGGGTATCGATGTGAATGAGACGAGGAATAGCAAGAAACGTCAACGGCACTGAAGGACCGACACAGTCTATGTGATGGACAAATTAATGGAATTATGCTCACGAGCAACGTCCCAGACGGACTCGCAAGTTCAAAGGACAGAGCGGAGTGGGTATAATGGAAAAAACACAACGGTTGGAGAGAAGGAGGCAGGCAACGAGGCCGCATGGCCATGACAGGATATATACTGCAAGAGATGATGTATGCTCGGACACGGCGCTAGACAGCATGTGCAGGAAGTCGAAGCATTCAACCGGCTTTTCGAAACCCACAATTGCTGTATGCTATAAACAGCCTTCGACTCACAGGGATCCTCAAGCCGCCCGTGGGGAGGAGCTGATATCGCATGCGATCATTGGCCCTTGGATGCGCCGGGGGGGCATCCTTCAGGCCCTCCGCACAAAAGGTTCATTGAAGACTTTTAGGGCCAGCAGCAAGAAAGGTTACCACACGAAACGCGGCCGTTTCACCCAGCGTCTGCGCTGCAGAATGCCAGGTGGTCGTCGTCCACCATGATTGGAATATCTGCGGATCGGGGGCCTGCAGGCTTGTTTGGCTGGACGACGGTGATTGGTGCCAGCCTCTCAAAATATTCCGCTTTAATCTATCGACAGCTAAGAATAGGAGGGATGAATATGCAGGTTGGAAGACTAATATCTCACCGAAGGAGGGGTCGGCGCTTAAAAGCAGAGCGCTTCTACTAGAATCTTACCCATGCGGGTTAGCCTGCAGACTCCCGCCAGATTCCACCACTGGCCCTACTAGCAGGCCCCCCCAGTCAATCTTTAAATCGTCGGTGAAGACGGCAATGACACTGTAATTTACGCAGTGGTTCTATTCTTGATCCGTTCGCTTCGGCTCCGGTTATTTTTGGATGTGCCAATGCTACCCAGGTTGCAGTCAGGAGTCCTGAGCGCTGCCCTAACTGATCTATAGCATGCGGGTGCTATATCACTCAGACACCGCGGTTGATAACGATGCATACCCTAATTCCGCGTTCTGTTGTCGCAGCATGATCTGTGCATCCTGAGTATTTGCGCTGGAATCATATGAATGACATTAACTGTGTATCAGACAAGCTAGACTCCACAGAAAGAACAACTCCTCCAGTCGAGCAGCAGCATAGGCAGGCACGCCTGAGAATTAGTCTTCGACATATTTTTTGATGATTTAGCATCCATCAATGTCACATCCAACGCTTGTTGACAATCTCATGGGCGTGTTTCTCGATCCGGTCAAAGGGAAATGAAGAAGTTCGAATTAAAAATAGAACCATCACCGACGCCATCTGCAAGATAGAGCAGGGGGAAGGAAGCATCCAAATCCCTATCCACAACCATCTCGCCGCTATGGTACAGTACAACCTCTGAAGTGTCTTCCAGGGGTCTTGCCGTTCGCAAAACAGCGCCATGCTCCTTATCAGAGAGACTGGAGGCCCCGAAACGCATAATTCTGGTATGAACATCCTTTCATCTGGCAAGCTCACTCGGATGTGTAGATCCCTGACATACACTGAAATGATGAAAGGCCTTCGTCTGCGTCATTCAAAGTCTCAAAGGTTGCCCACCTGACAAGGTCCTGAGTCTCCCCTCCGACACTTTCTGGGCGCCTAGTCCCCAAGAGGGGTTCTGCAATCCGTCTCGGAGCCATGTAGTAGTCGGACCGCCGCGGGGCTTCGTTGAAAGCCAGCACAAGACTTGGAGATGGGTCTGATCACAAGCGGCCCACCTTCTTATCTCGCTTGACCTGGTGGATTGAGTTTGTCGCGACTCTGCTCCGCACTTGTTCTGGCTTGGATCGTGAAGTCACTTGCGGTCATTCGATCCGGTGGATGGACCATCACTTGTCACTGCTGGAGCTAGTGGATGGACCATGACTATCTAACAATAGGTTGCATGATCCTGTGACTGAAAGTGTGTGATACCTCTCCATCTTGTGGTTGATAATCAGGAACTGGGGCGATGTGACATTACCCCTCGAGAGATGTTTCAATGACCCTTCACTGTGGTATGATATCCAGTAGACCCCTCTAGGTGCAGAGGGCAATAGTCGAAGGTGGCCGAACAGGACAGGCAGACAGGCAGGAACCTGATAGTCAATCTACCCTCCCTGGCCATTCACTTGCCGGTGGTCCCTTGTTGCCCCTGGCAGCGTGGTTGTACATCGTTTTCATTCTGGTTGCACTGGCTCTTGCAGTTTGGTTCATCTGCGGTCATTACCCATGCATCTAACCATGCAGTGTTCATGTTTGTCACACCTTCGAATGGCAGGAACACTGGCTCACTCACTACCTAGCCTGTGGTCATATTCCACCGTTGTCGCAGGGATGCGGATTGACTTGTTGATCCATTGCAACTTCATCGTTAGGTCTATCAATACCGTTATCTGGTATGGATATGAGCATGCTGATGCCAGGCATTGATGTCACCATGACCTGTCACCTGGAGGTGTAAACAATGCGAAGTTTACAACATCAGATCTGCATTGCTGAAATGCATCTATACCAATCTTTGTACTCTAATCACATTGCGCAACAATTGTTTTACATGCCGTTCGCACGCTTACACTCTATGTCGCGGATAGTATGGCTGAAAGGGTAATCAGTTTACGCTCGCTAGTAGGAAGGGCGTGATATAAGATGAAACACACGCACTATAGTCGTCTACGTCTGCCGACGGACTTCCGGACCTACGGGATAAATCCGGAGGGTTGAGACCGACCAAGCATGAAGCGATAAGAAAATCGATACTGTATGTAGGCCTTGCGTATTCACATCAAACAAAAGAAAAATCCAATTCATGCCCGTGACCTGGACCCAACAACGCCCTCGATAGAATACAGAAACTGATGTGGCAAAACCCCAGGGGCCAGGTCTCAGTTGACACCGGCGTGGCTGAAGCCCTCTTGTCGCCAATCATCCCCATGTAACTGTTGGCCTGCGTAACTGCCCCCTCCTGCGCCGCTTCCGCCTCCCCCACTCCCTCCACCGGCCATTGCTGCCGCAGCGGCGGCGCCTAGACTTGCGGCGCTATGTTTCTCAATCTCCATGGAGCTCATCATGTACAGCATGACGAAGATCAAAACATGTAGGGCGACGCAGTATCCAGCGAACAGATTGCGGCTCGTCCGATTGGCGAGGATGATGCGCGTCAACGAGAACACAATGCGCTCGGGCAAGGACATACGCTTGTATGCCCGCGCAGACTCGCGGCCACGGAAGGCTGCAAAGGGTGAGATCTGGGCTTCGTAGGCGGATTGGTATCGGTCAAGAGAGAGTCCCGACGGAGTGTCTGCACCGGCGTGGACGGAGGAAGTGTTCGGCTTGTTCGCGTAGGCGGATGCGGATGACGATCCACCCGGACCGCGGTTGTATGTTGACACGTAGCGGGTCTTCTCATAGAGGCTGAGGTTGTCCTTCTGCAGAGAAGCAACTTCCTGTCTCAGGGACTTTACCGTGCCGTACAACTTGGAGAGCTCTTCCTCTAGCTCGGCATTCTTCTTCTTGAAGCGATCACGCTGCGCCTGGATCATGGGCAAGAGACCGGAGCCTCCGCCAACGGCCTCGCCTGCCCGGATGGAGTCCATGGTGTTGGCAGATGCAGCGGACTGGTCGAAGCCTGAAATTATGGAAGATGTAGGTGAGACCGCCCCTCCTCTCCGGGACGAGTGGGGATACTTGGACGTGTAAGTTCCGGCAACAGACATAGCTGATGATGGGAACGCATTTGCGGCTTCTTCCTGTACACGAAGAAGGTCATTCTCCAGCGTCGTGGACAGTTTCTGCGACTTTTCGAGCTCCTCTTTGGTACTCGAAAGATCGTCCCGCAGGGCCTCAAGCTGACCCTGGAGGTCCCGGTGAGAGACACGCAAGATGGTGAGCTCGTCAGTCAGTTTCTTGTTCCTAGCGAGCAATAGTCGCTCCAGGCTGTTTTTGGAACCCTCCTTTGCCTTGGTTGCTGCGCCGTTGGTAGGGCTCGTAGCATCTGCAAAATCTCCAGCTTCGTCATCATCTCCTGGTGAGAATTCGATAGACTTGTCCAACGTCAGTGGCAACTCTCCCGCCTGGATTTGATGTATAGTGCTTACCTTGATCATCTCCAATTCCCGACGAATATCTTCGTAGTCGGCCACCTTCTCCAATCTCGAGCGCAGCTCTTCCTTCTCGGCAGTGGCATTCTTGATCTGTCTCTCAGCTTGGGAGTACTTCGACTCCCATGTGTGTCTCTCCGATTCTCTGTCAAACCGAGCAGCATCCAATTTACGTAGGAGAGAAGAATTCTCGGATTGCAGACGCAGATATGCAGGGTCATCCTCCACCGAGGCCGCTTGTTCTGCCTGAGAATGAGAGACGGCCTGAGCCAGCTCGAGCCTGAGTTGTTCGTTTCGTGCCTCTATTTCTGCTAGACGCAAGCTTGTCTTCTCTAACTCCGCGGACACCAGCTCCAACTCCGCGGCACTAGCACCATGCTGGACGCCTTCGCCGTCATCGCCATCTTGTCCCAGTCGCTGTGATACCTCGTAGCTCGCTTTGAGTTCCTTGACCAAGCGCTCCTGGTGCTCTACCTTCTCCTCCAAGCTTTTCTCCTTAGCAGTCCAGTTGTTGGTCTTCTCGGACAACACCGCTGACCAGGACTCCTCGACCTCTTTGATCTTCGTTTCCTGACCCTCCTCCAGTTTCTTCCGAGCCGTTCGCTCTTCCTCCAGGCGCTTTTCCGTAACCTCGAGCTGCGACGTAAGGCGATCGACGGACCCCTGTAGTTGGTCCCGCTCAGAGGTCAATTTGGGGACGGTTTCCTCGGAATGAACCAGAGAATCGACGGACGCTTCGAGAAGGGGGTACGGGTCGGGGGCTTCGGATAGAGACGAGTACAATTGTAGGAACGCGGACGAGGAGGCTTTCCCCTGATTTGTCAAGAGATCGATAAAGCTTTGGTAAGCTATACAATATGTTAGCCGTGACGCAATGGAGATACGTAGTGCCAACGCAGCCGACCTTTCAAGAGACCCTTGTATTCCGCCAATTTCGAGGCATCGTCCAGCTTCCGAAAGTCCTTTGTCTTCTGAGCGAGATCTTTCCTCTGCACGAGGGCGTCGCGTTGTTGCGCAACGATATCCGAAGCGGTACTGTCTAGCTTGGCGACGGTGTTGGCAAGATCGATGCCTGATAGAGGTCAAAGAGATTAGCGCTTAGCTTTTCGGGCTGTGTGTATTGGAGAGACGGTGCGACATACCTCTCCAGGCTGCGATGGCCCGCTGGAACTTGTTTGCGCCCTCGGGAAGCTTGCCGGTGGTGGCCTTTTCGGCCTCGTGGCCCTCCTGAGGACTAGTCTCAGGGACAATGGCTTCCGTGATGGCGAACGCATCCATTTTTGCGTGTAGAATACTTGACCCGCCTCGGTGTTCCAGTAGATAGCACAGCAACCCCCATCCGACACTGCACCCGGAAAGACCACTTTTTCTGGATGAGAGACAACCGAATGAATGAAGCCAGTTAACGTAATGCGATGCGATGCGGAGGCCTGCGACTCCAATCGGTCCGATGATCTTCCGGATAACAACAATCGGGCAACGTCAGTGGATGGTGGCTGGTGGATGAATCACAGGGGAATGGCTAGACAGTCTTATCAGTCAAAAAAGTAGAAAGTCTCTTGCTATTTAGCTTAGGAGTGGGTATGGTGTGAATGAAAGAAGGTGAGGCTCGCGATGACCGCTGACTCAACGCTGGTCTACCGTAATGCAGATCAGATCGATTGCCAGATCTTGCTTGCTCCTGTCTACTTATTTATAGCAATCATTGCACACGTTCGTCTCGGCCAAGTCAATGATAGCTGTTGACAGGAGGACGTGTCCGGTTAGACTCTTACGACATATCACATGTGCGGCTTATGTCGATCTTTACCACCCTCTTTTCATGCTCATGGCGAGGCATGCCAGTTCAGCTTGTTTAGCATGAAAGTCGCTTGTATAGGGTTCATACAGCCTGGGGTTACCATTGCAAGCCATATGAGGGCAGTCATGCAGCTGTCAAGAGTGCCTTGCTACTGCATGAGACATACTGTTGCATGATAGTGACTTGGTTTATCATGTCTCATACTTCGTACTTCATACTTCATACCTGTTGATGGTTGACAGAAACGGCCCACCCTGAGTCAGCAAGCAAAGCCAACCGCGGCTCGGGCCCACCGCCTAGTAGGCAGTCCCATACTCCCGTGTAGCCCATGTAAGGTAGTGAACGCCGCCCGCCAAACACTCGGAAGCTTCCCAAGTTCCTAGCCATCCCCTCAACAACAATTCCTCTTACGACACCGGAGCTGGTCTCATCATGGTGTCTGAAGAGGAGGGCATCAGCCCGCGCAAACGGCGGAAGATCGGCCCTCCTAAGGCAGCTCCATATGTTCTACGATCGCTGTTTGAGCAGGTTCCCTTGAATCCCGACGATAACGATGACGAAGTCCACATCACCACTGTTGAGTATTGGAGTAAGTGCTTTGGGGCCTGTGTCATTGAGAACCCCCATATTTTTCTCTAACTAATCTTCTACCAGATGACAATCTATACATTGGAACGTCTGCCGCCGAGATTCTCCACTTCGTCTGCCTTCCACCGGACCCCTCGGACAAGTCGAACGAACCCTCGTTTATCCTAGCTTCACGATTACCGATCCCCTTTGCCAACTCTACATCTACGGCGACCAAGCCACTTGGAATACAGCATATTCTCTTGTTACCAGCTGTCAACAAGGCTTGTGTCCTATGCAATGGGACTGTCACCTTCTACATGCTACCGGAGCTTAGTCCGGCTTTCGGGAATACCAAGGTCAACAATTGTTCCTGGATCGGAGGAGTGGATCTCAACACAGGCGCGGACGAGCAGAATGAGCAGGTGGTCATGATCGCGGCGCAGAATCGTACTATGCTGGTGAGAATCGGGGAGGAAGCTCGACGTATCAGGAACATCGAATTTCCTGGATGCCTAGTCGCGGCGCGCAGAGGGATCATCGCGTGTGCCGCAGATGCACACTCGTACTCCCTCGTTGATGTGGAGAACCAGCAGAAAATACAGCTGTTTCCCATCTCTTTCTCGAACCAGAATTTCGAACCCAACCAAGTCCACGATGTGTCGACAGCTCCGCCCTTGAAGTCGCCGACCTCTCCGTTCTTTGCCCATTCGCCCACCTCAGAGAGCCATCTGTTTGAAAGGAGCTTCAGCTCAAACACAAAATCTGGCTTGTTGCAACCACACGGACACAAGCGATCAAGCTCAGCCACCTCGGAGCTCACCCCGGAGTCGGGAACACCAAGACGCTCGCTGTCGAAAGAGCGCGCAGGGAGCGCATCTCCTAGACGAAGTATGGAGAACCCACCGCATGATCCAGAATCTAGCTCGGAAGAAAGGAAGCCACTTCCTCCTCTTCCAAAGCAGACGCAACTGAGGCCCCACATTCTATCGCCGACCCCGTCTGAATTTCTGCTTGTGAGGGGGACGGACGGGTCGGAGCCTGGAGTCGGCATGTTTGTTAACATCGACGGCGACGTGGTTCGTGGCACTATCACCTTTCACAAGTATCCGGAATCCATCGTCATCGATAAAGGCAACGAGAACAACATGATTCATTCGCCTGACAACACCCATGAAGAACTGCTGCTTGCAGTGATAGAGGCAGAAAAGGAAGGACAACGCCGCAAGTTCCTGGAGGTTCAACTCTGGGATGTTGATCCCGGGGAAGCGGACGAGCACAAAACGTGGGTTGAGATCCCGTCTTCAGACGTGCAGCCTACGCATGTGGGTCTCAGCCATACGATAAGTCCGAGTCAGCTGGAGATCACCGAGATGGGCAAGCTCTTGCGGATGGTGCGCTTGAAAACGCCGTCGCTGGCACCGCATGTGCCTGCTACCGATCCGAGAACGCAGGCGTCGATCGAACACCTACAAAAAGAAAAGGAGCTATTCGAGGGCCAGGAAGGGACTGGTGAGGCCGAGCGTGGCTGGGAAGTAGAGCGCAATGCCGAAGAAGCCAAGTTCGCGCGCGCCTTGGGCCAAACACAGAGCAGTCTTATCATGTGGAATGGTAATCAGATATGGCGGGTGGTGAGGAACCCGCTAACAACGCAGCTGGATGACGCCCTACAGAGCGCCCAAGTACCGGATACAGATGGGCGTAGTGTTCTCAAGCGGGATGCCATCACAGACGTCATCGACCTTGTTCAGGCTGCAGAGCCCAAATCCGAATCCGAATTTCTGGGCTTGAATTACCTGAAGCAGAAAGCCAGTCTGCTTCTGTTTGGTGACCTGATTCTCATGGATTCAGAACACAGGGATGAGGTCACTATAGACGCTACGGAGCGAGCTCTCATTGTGGGAAACCTGGACCCCCGCATTCCGCTCCTGTTGATCCCGATATTGCGACGAGAGGTCCTGCAGAGCCCGGAAGGGATCTGGATACACGCGGGCTTGGCGGAGATCACAGAGAGTTACGTGCAGCGGCTGGATAAGACTGCGGGCGGCGGGGCCTCGGACAGTGCCGTGCTGGATATGATCAAGAGGTTTCTGTTCTCCTGGCAGCAAAAGAGGGGTTACGGAAGTATCACCGATGAGACCTACGTGTTCGACAGCGTCGACGCGGCTTTCCTGCACTTGCTTCTGGAACAGGACGCACAACTCGCGCCTGCACAACGATCAGGCTCTCCGTTACGCATCGAACTGAACAGGCTTGTGGATAATTGGAAGGGCAATCTGGACCGCGCGGTGGCACTATTAGAACAATATCGACGACTGTTTGTTTTGAGCCGACTATACCAGAGCCAGAAGATGTCTCGCAATGTCCTGAAAACATGGCGCAGGATCATCGACGGTGAAGAAGATCTGGGCGGCGAAATCACGATTGCCGGTACGGAGGCACAGATGCGCCGGTACCTGGTCAAGATCAAAGACGTTCAACTGGTGGAAGAGTACGGGGCGTGGCTTGCCCAGCGCAATCCCAGCCTGGGCATACAAGTGTTCTCTGATGGCACGAGCAGAGTCAAGCTGGAAACTGCCGATGTTGTGGCTCTGCTCAAGCAGCAAGCGCCTAATGCCGTCCAAGCATACTTGGAACACCTGGTCTTTGCCAGAAACGTGAGTAGCGCTGCCCGTATTCTCGACTAAGCTTTCTCTGACTAATTATCCTCCAGCTCACCCAATATGCGGATGACCTGCTGGCATACTACCTCGATTCCGTCCTCTCTGTATTGGAGACGTCGCCGTCAGCACGGGCTTCTCTGTCCGAATCCTACTCCACCTACCGCGCTCTGAGCGCTCCGAAGCCGACCTACATGAACTTCATCACGGTGAATACTCCCTCAGAACCATGGTGGCAATCCCGCCTTCGGCTCCTCCAGCTCCTCGGCGGCGGCAGCACCGGAGGCAGCCAGTTCACCTCGATGCCGTCGCGCACCTTCACCTTTTCCATCCCTGCCGTCCTGGCCCGGATCGAACCTTTCCAGAACGAGCTCGTCTCGGAATCCATCATTCTCGACGGTCTTCAGGGCCGCCACCGCGAAGCTCTTCATCTCCTCACGCACGGCCTCGGCGACTACGATTCCGCCATCCGATACTGTCTCTTCGGCGGCCCGCAGGCCACCAGCAGCTCGTCGTCGTTCGCGGACCGAACACAGCAGAGCGAGCTCTTCCGGTGCTTGTTGGATGAGTTCCTGAAGATCCAGGATTCGTCGGAGCGCATCGAGCGGACTAGCGATCTTCTGGGCCGGTTCGCGGCGTGGTTCGACGTCGGAGAGGTTCTGCGGATCATCCCGGACGAGTGGAGCGTCGATATCCTGGGCGGGTTCCTGGCGCACGTGTTCCGGGTGCTGGTGGCGGAGGGCCGCGAGGTGCGGATCGAGCGAGCGCTGAGCGCGGGGTTGAACCTACGGGTGGGGACCGAGTATATCGAGGGGGTGGAGAAGGTGGGCGCCTGGGTCGAGGATGGACATGGGTTGCGGCGGCTGAAGGATCGACCAGTGGTTCGGGAGGAGACCGAGGAGTTCGGGGATATTGTGGAAGCCGATAGCTGATGATGATGATGACGACGATGTTTGTTGTATATATGACTTGTATATAGCTATGCCAGAGCCATGAAGCCTTGTACCGTTCACGCTTTGCATCCAGATCTGGTGGTAATGAATGGAAGATGTGGCATTTTGGTCGACATATCAACAATGCGCATAACCCTAATACATAGATAGAGTGAGGCTTCCCGGGGGAGAACCCCCAGATCCCCCTTCTTTTCAACGTCCCAGCAACCTCAATCCCAAGTGCTGGAGCAATATACCGTTCCGGGGGAGAACCCCCGGATTCCCCTTCTTTTCAGCTCCCCAGTAACCTCAACCACAAACCTCAGGATATGAAAGTGCCTACAACTCCAAAAGATCATGCAACTCCCCCCAAACCACCTGCTCCCCCTCCCCATCCTCCTCCCTCCCATCAGACTCAGAACCTCCATCCACCAAACCCCGCAACCTGCCCACCAACTCCTCAACCGCCATCTCCCCCTCCCCATCTCCATCCCCAAACTCACCCCCCTCACCCCCATCACACCTAGGCACAATCACAGAACGAGTAAGAACATGGCCCACCCCATCCCGCACCACCAAATCCCTAACCCCCACCCGCACCCCAGAAACAGTAACGCCGCCCCACGGCCCCAAATTCGCCACCTCAACGCCCACCGTGCGCCCGTCTAGCATCGTCTCCAAATCAAAATGCTTGAGCCCATGCACCGCCTCGATCTCTCCAGAAGTTGTATACTCCACATCCGAGTAGAGCGTACGCCGCGGCACGAGATGATACTCCAGCAGCGCACGGAGGTACGGCGTCCCGTGCTCCGAGAACAGGAACGCGTTGGCCTTGTACCCCAGTCTGCTGAAGGCGCGGTTCGTCGGGAGGAAGTATGTTCCCCCCTGCCCTGTACCTGTACCTGTTCCATGGGATCTGGGGTCCGGGTCCCCGGGTTTGGGATGGGGATGGGGATGGGGATGGGTATGGTTCAGTCGGGCCGCGAGACCCGTGCGGTGGAGGGCGAGCGCCAGGGTGCTGAATTGCGTGGGCACGATGGTGGCCAGCGTCAGCAGCGACGGCGGCGGGAGCAGGATCGCGTCGATCGTGTACAGCGCCCCGTTGGCGGCGCGTTTCTCCGTCGCCAGGATCCGGCTGTAGTGGTTCAGCGTCGGGCCGTGCAGCGTCGTGCTGATGCTCAGGCGCTGCGGGAGCGAGGAGTCCCTTCTCTCCTCGTCGTTTTGGGGTGAGCTGGCGCTGCTGCGGCCGGGGGCCGGGGGCTTAGGGCTGAGCTGCGGCTCCGTCAGCAGGGTGGGCAGCGTGTGCGCGTGGAAGAGCTCCGCCGGGCTGTACACCGCCGACACGAGGTGGTATTTCAGTACCGCGCGGATGAGTTCGCGCGGTGGTTTGTGATGGTGGTGGTGGTGGTCGTCGTCGTCGTCGTCGTCATCGTGACGGTGTTTGTCGTGGTGGTGATGCGGGATTTTGGCAAACGCTTCGTCGGTGGGCGCGAAGAGGGTGAGGTTGGCGGCCGTGCGGTTCAGCAGCTCCACCAGGTGCGAGTCGTCGTGCACGATGCGGGCTAGGATGGTGGTGTGAGGGCTCTCGGAGATCAGATCGTACAGCGACTTGTTGGAGGGCGGGTGCTGCGGGTACGGCGGCGGAGACGGCCGGCGGAAGGGCGGAGGAGGTGGAGGTGACACTTGCTGTTCCTCCGGGGGGTGGGTCTCGTCTGCTAACTCGTCGATCCACGAGGTGATCTGCTGCACGGGCGAGTAGGTTTCCACCGCGGACGAGAGGCGCGAAAGGATGTCGAATAGATGGTGGTCGTGCGTCTCTTGCTCCTGCTCCTCTTGCAGGTCTGGCTTCGGTTCGTGGAGGATCGCCTGCTGCTTGGGGGGGATTAGAAAGGCGGATGTCAGCGGAAGGGCCGCGACGGCCCAGTATTGCAGATGCTTCATTGTGGTCTCATGCGGAGATGGGCCATGAGTGTGTATCTACATGATGGAAAGAAAGATTCGTAAGACGAGAGGGGTGGGCGATGTTATACTGGACGAGATTCGAATATACTTCCGACCAGCTGCGTCTAGACCGGGCGGTCACCCCCCAAACTGGAATCATCGTCATCATCCCCATCCCTGCCGTGATGTCATGATATGTCACTCGGTAACTTAGAGGTCGTGAATTTCATTGATCTTTCTTTCTAATCACTCATGTTGCTGCATCATGGCCTATGACTTGACCAGTGCATGCCAGCTCATTTTCAGGTACAGTCACTGCTCGAAGCACAAAGCACAAAGCACAAAGCACAGCTGGTATACCCTTTCATCTGCTTTCGTAAATGGGATGACTCCTCGACTAGTCTCGACCAGATCTCCACTGGGATTACTCGGCGTTAGGTAGCCGGGCATCAAGGCCATCAACCTCAGCCGTCATGTCACAAGCCATAGCCGATGCTCTTTAAATCACAATACATGGAATCCCACCCACGGAACCCTTACTCCTCCGGCTGCACGAACGGATTGGCGATCTCCTCGCTGCCATCGGCCGGGGAGATCAACACAATGAGCGTACCACGGGCCACGATCAACCCCAGCGAGCGCGTGGTCTCGTTGCCCTCGTCATCTGTGCCCCCCTCCCATTAGTCAAAGCTGGCATCGAGAGCTAGAGAGCAATAAAGCAACCTACCGCGCATGCCTTCCTTCACATCGTCCAGAACCAAGTTCATCAATTGGTCGTAGCCCTTCAGGATACCAGTGACTGGGGACGGGATGTTAGTTCGTCATCGACAGGGATGCTGACAAAGCTGACAACAAGGATAACTCACCCTCACGGCCGCCATTGAACTTGACGCGCACCTCCTTGTCCATGTACTTGTTCAGATCCAGGATGTTCTCCTTCTTGGGCTTCTCTTGCTGCTGCTGCTGCTGGTCGCGGTGCTCGCGGTGGGCACCGCCACCTGCACCGCCACCGCGGCCCTGCCCGCCACGGCCGCCAGACCGGTCACCGTAACCTCCGCCGCGGCCGCGACCTCCTCGGAATGAGCCTCGTTCGGACATGGCTTGGCTGTGTTGGGGGGGAAAGATCAATTGAATTGCGTGAAGAGGGGCTAATGTATACTGGACTGATCGTGTGTCCAATTAAAGCGGCGTGGATTAGATAATGATGCACGTGCCGTAACCTCCGTTGTAACTTGGAACTTAAGCTACTAACTCAATGAGAGAGGGGGAAGGGGAGACCTCGGAGGGAGGGGAGGGGCAGCACCAGGGAATGGAGACGTTGGGATTTGAGAGGTGGAAAGACGGTCTCAATCGGTTGGAGTAACCCGGAGTGGGAGAAATTTTTCGACCCGATAAGGCGAGGGGGGGAGGAAAGGGGCGGAATGGGAAGATCGATGGTGATTGAAGCAACAAAGGTGATATCAGTATGAGGGATTTTCCATCCGCAAAAGTGGTTGCAGCCGCGACGGAGTAACTCCACCAGTTGTCGGTTCCCGGGCGGTGGTGCGTACACAGTATGCTTTTCCATGTTGCGAATCGATCGATGCCTACCATTTTCTTTCCCGTGGCTTTCCCGCTCGACTCCCACCGCCCACACCCTTTCACCGCCTTTACATCCGCCTTTACATCCGCCTTTACATCCTTTGGGGAAGGAAGGGTCGGAGTATATACGGAGTACTCATTGTCCGACAGGATGGAGAAGATTGTGTCTCTATACCCTTGATGAATATTTAATTTGTACGCAGCTGTCTTGTTGGAGGACTCATTGTTTTTACATCATATCTCGGAATTTCCTTGGTCGAGGACCAGTACTTGTATACTTACGGCTATATAAATAAACATCGGCGGCATAAGCTCAAGGTCACAATGGACTATCAGCGCACACCCCTGGGCAACTCTGATTCTGATCTACCCACATCGACTGAATCCTGATCACTAACAGAAACAGCACACAGCTGAAGCATCGAAATACCAACGTCGCTGCTAAGAAGTACCAGATGGTGGAAGAGTAAAAGACGGTGTTGGTCACACCGTGGACACTGACAATACCTGACCCATCGCTGACCACCGGCCCGGTCTAGCGTGGGGATGGGATATCTCTGTGGCTGGAACACCGGTCAGTCGGATGGATATCGGCCTGGCCAACCTCGACTCCAGGCTCATTAGGCACCAGTTTCCAGGTCAGACCCATGCGTGCGTCTATGGTGTACCGTAACTGCACACCTTGCAGCTCCATCAATACCCGCCCGTCTCCTTTCCGTCAACCTGCAACCAAGATGGGAGCACGAAGACTGGTGGTACGGAGTCCGTGGATTGGCACACGGGGAAAATTCGACGATCCTCCTCCTGCCTGGCGGAGCGCGCCTGTAGCAGCACATGGGACGAGACAGTCGAGCTATTCGGTGGTGATCGGTCAGTTAGTGAGGGAAGGACGGGGACGGACCGTTCGCTTGTTCGTTCGTTCCCCCCTATGATGACATCAAATCCTGAGACAGGATCCAACCGCCCGACAACGTGTCTGTACTCTTTTCCTGTAGCCATCGTGGTACTTTCGTTCCTGAGGGTCCGTCCGCAAGGGGGCGAAACCGATGCACCCTCGCGCAGTGGGCTTGTGGATAAGCATCGTCAATGGTGGTGGCCATTGTCACGATGGTATCGAATTGATTCGCCTGTATTGGTCATGACCGTGACGGGTTACGGCTCATCCGAATGGACAGCGGAAGAGCCCGGCGGGACTCCGCCCCTGCCTGTTTCTTACGCATCCACCAGTAGGACACCCGACGATAAGAAAATTGGGGATGGATGGACATGGATGGACATGGATGGACAATGGACTGACTCTTGTGCTATTGGGGATTAAGGGCGAGTGTGTCCAGGGAGTACTGTACACTCTACTACAGTACATACTGAGTAGGTCAATGGTTGCGGAAGATCGGAAGAGAGCGCGTGCGAAAGAAAGATAATAATAACCATAACCAGCTGAGTGACTGGAGCAGGTGACTTTCCGGGCTCGCCCGTTCCGCCATCCCCTCTGCTTCAATTCCTCCTCCTCCTCCTCCGTCTGTCTGTCCGTCCGTCGGTCTTCTATTCTTATCCACTCAAGGCTCTTTCTTTTATCCACCCCCCTCTTCTCCCCCTGCGGTGATTATCTGCGAACCAACAACCCGCTTGTCGGACCAGCCGGCCAACAAGTAACCAAATGGGTTGAACCCCAAATCTCTTCCACTTGTTCATTCTTTTAAGTGCGTGGTTCGTTCAACTTGCCCGCTCTCCGACCTTCCTGTTTCTGTTAGTACGGCTCCGTCAGTGCTTCTCTTTCTCTCGCGATTGTCGCGTTCTCCTCTCCCTCTCCGTCGGCTCCTCTTTTCCTCTCCTCCTCCCTCTCTCCTCCCTTATCCTTTACCCAACTTTTCCTGTCCTCTCTTCCACTACTTTCTTCTTTACTTTCCGCGCAACCCATTTCTTTTCCATCCCTTCCTACTTCCTGCTTGTCCCACCCCCACTCATCCCATCCCATCCCATCCCATCCCATCCCGGTTTGCATCGGCTGGGGGTTATCGCGATTACCTAACTTGAACGCAGTACGCGCTGCCCAGTGGCTGATTGGGAGCCCGCACTCTGGAGCCTTATGCTCCGCCATCGGCAGCCTGTCTTTCGCCAGCGTTCCCATTACTCATTCCCTCAATAATCCCTTTTCTCTCCTCTCGCTCCGTCGCTTTCCCTTTCCCTTCCCCGCCTTGCCTTTTTTCTTCTGTGACTACCGCTATAGTCGCGATCCTAGGACCTCTTCCCTCCTCTCCCCTCTCCCCCCTCTCCCCTCCCTTCTCTCTCTTCCCTCCTCACCACCCTTCCCCTCCTCTCCTTTCCGCCCCTTCTTATCATCATTATGGAGTCTCGACCTGCGACGGCTGAGCCGTCCAGTAAGCGGCCGCGATCGCCGTCCGGCGACTTTCCTCCTATCGCATCCAAAGTTCCCAAGCCTTCCAATCACCTGCAGATCAACTACCTGGCCCGTCAGTATCCGGACAATCTGCCTCTGGTGTCCGTCGAGGATACCATGCCTTCAATCATTCACTTGATTGGAGAATATGACGGCGTTTTGCACCGACACGAGAGTATTGCTGGCAATCTGGGCGCTTGTCCATTAGGCCCCATTCTGATTAAGCGCTTCGAGCGCCTCTTCGACGGACCGCCTCGCGTGCTCAAGTCCCATGGCAAGGATTCCCCCAACGTCACCTGGCTGGACGTGGTGGAATTCGCCAAAAACAAACCGGAACAGTTTAACCTGGAGAAGTCTCGCAATGGCGTGCGCGTCTGTCAATTCTACACCAAACAGTGTCGCGTGGAGATCAGCGAGGAGGATTTCGTCCTGATTGCATCAGGCATGCCGCAGAAGATGATTCCTCCTCAGCCGATCATCGAAGACGAAGAGAAGGAACTTGGCGCGCTTGAGATACTGGAGAAGAACCTCCAGCAGATCATCCAGGTGGCCGACCAAGGTGAGCTCATCCCAGACGCCTACGCATTTACACGAAAGATGAGATCAACTGACGGGTTGCATTTTAGTATCCGCGCGAGCCCGACAACTCAACCATCGCCTGAAGAACCGGAGGACGGCGATCGTGACCCGTCGAGAAAACGACATGTCCCTTCATTCGCAACGACAACCGCAACATCGCTCGATAAGTCCTGCGTGGCGCGAGGCGAACGGACATGGACTACCAGCCCTCAATGGCAGCGCTCCGGTGAGCGCGCACTCTCCATCCACTGGTTTTGTGGCGGTCAATGCCGGCCGGCCCGGCGCCGGCGAAGCTGCCGTGGAGGAGAACTCGCTCTCGTCGCAGTTTATGTTTTCGCACTCGAACACGGACAACGTCACAATTATCAACGGCACCTCTATCAAAGGAGCGTCCCCGACCACGCGCGCCGAGCTAATGAAGAAGTTCTTCACTACGCAAGACCGGCAGTCCCGGTCTTACGAGGAAGGGCCTGACTCGTCAGTCCGACAGTCATCACGCCCGCGCCCGCGAGCGTCGGACGCGTCGGAGTACAACATGTATACTCCGGCCCCCACCACCGTCGCCATCCCGAGTACGCCGTCGTCGTTGCTACCACCGCCCAAGTCCCACCACCATGATAAGGATGACGGGGGCCCGCACAAACTGGAGATGGTGGCCCGCATGGAGGAGCTGCAGCGTGGAGAACGGATTATGCCCCCCTGTGATCGGTGTCGCCGTCTTCATATGGACTGTTTGAAGAACCTGACGGCCTGTATGGGATGTACGAAGAAGCACGCCAAGTGTTCTTGGAAGGACGTGAAGGAAGACGAGCTGCGGGAGACGCGGGTGGACCGCAGCTCCCGGGAGCGGATGGAGGAAGGGCCAGCCAAGGAGGCCTCGGCGACCGCCATGGCACCCTCTGCGGTGCAAGCGCCCCCATCCGCGGCGCAGACTCCGGTCTCCGAGCCGACGATGATGGACGTGGATCGACCGCACGCCCATGATCATGTCGACTTCAGTACGCGACGAGAGTCGGCCCCAACCGCGACGGCTGGTCCGGCCGTGGGAACGCCTTTCAAGAGAGACCTCTCCCCTCGTCGCGCGATGAGCGAAATCCAGGGGAGCAACGTGATGACGCACGACCGACGCATCAGCATGCATCGACATGCTGACGCGGCGCAGGATGACGACGCCCCGGATGCCAATTCGCGCCTCATGCAGGCGATCTTGGACACGGTGGACCACCACGCGCGGGTGGCCGCTGCCGCCAAGGAGGGGCATGAAGTTAGCAACGAACGGGAGCGAGAACGAGAACGCGAGCGTGAGCGCGAGCGCGAGCAGGAGCGTGACCGGGAACGGAAGTTGGTGCGAGCATAGTGTATATTTCGTTGGCGGGATGACCCGGCGCGCCTTGGAGTTTTGTGTCTCTTTTTATGTGGATTCTGGTTTCTGTGTGTACTGTTGAGCGAGTCTGGCAGATATCCCGGTTGTTTGTGGTATGATGCATATTAAGAAGTGTTGAATCTGGCTTGGGTTATTCGTTAAGCTGTAGTGCAGTGGATGGAGTACGGAGTACTTAATCATAGATGATCCATGATCGCTTGAGGTCATTCCCGAAGCGGATGAAGAACTGCCGACGGTTGATCCGCTGGGGGAAGACCCACAGTGGCCACGCGCAGTACTATGCGGTCCCAAGGCAAGCCTCAATACATCGTCGTAGTCAGTATTGGCGGATCGACTATCTTGTAACAACCGGCAGTAGGGCAATCATCGAGAGATCTCGTTCGATTTTATCAGATGCGGAGTTGAACGGCGCAGCGCGGGGATCGCATGCCTCCGTTTACCGTTACTGATCCCCCCACAACTGATCGGATGGGTCGGGGGCGGAGGAAGGAGGGCAGAGGGCAGAGTCTAGCCGGACCCATCGGATGCCCATGACCAGAAGAATCAGAATATCCAATTGTTGCTGCATAGTGCAGGAGGATGAGGCCGGCAATACGGAAATAGCAATAGCCGGAGCAGCTGAGTTGATGCTGACCGATGGAGCGGGCAGGGCGAATTGGCCAGTCAGCAGTGAGTTGTTAACTTGCTTATTGAATTTCCCCCCCGCCAGAATGTGGGGAAAGAAAATCCACCCCGCGGAGGGTACGGACAGTATCTATTACTTATTTGTATATAGACTTCCCCCGACCCAGCCAGCCCATACGTTTTCTTCTACTCTTTACTTATCCCCTCCTCTCTTCTCCAAATACCCTCCAAGTGAAGCAAACGCACTCTGAAGTCAACAGCCAACAGCCAACAGCCAACAGCCAACAAAATGGATCCCTCCCTCGTCAAAATCCCCGCCATGAAAGATCTCACGATCGACAACATCACGGAAAACGTGATCCGCATCAACTCGCTGTGCCCGGACGAGCGCATGAAGTACATCCTGGAGCGGCTGGTGACGCACCTGCACGACTTCGCGCGCGAGACGCGCCTCAGCACGGAGGAATGGATGACGGGGCTGCGGTTCTTGACCGAGGTGGGCCAGATCTGTACGGACGTGCGACAGGTAAGTGTCTCCCCCCCCCACCAGGGCATCGCACACTCCCCGACCCTAACCAAAGCAAGGAATTCATCCTCCTCTCCGACATCCTGGGCCTTTCTTTACTTGTCGACAGCATCGACCACCCCAAACCCGCCGGCAGCACCGAAGGCACCGTCCTGGGCCCGTTCCACACCCACGAAGCCGCGGAGCTCGCCCCCGGCGCATCGATGTCCCATGACCCCAACGGCCAACCCCTCCTGGTCGTCTGCACCATCCGAGACACGGCCGGCCGGCCGGTCCGGGACGCGAAGATCGACATCTGGGAAACCGACAGCACCGGCCACTACGACGTGCAGTACCCGGACCACGACGGGCCCGACGGCCGCTGCATCATGCGCAGCGACGCGGACGGCGTGTTCTGGTTCCATGCCATCACGCCGGTGCCGTACCCCATCCCGCACGACGGGCCGGTCGGCAGACTCCTCAAGGTGCTGGGCAGACATCCGTATCGCCCGAGTCATATGCATTTCATGTTTGAGAAGGAGGGGTTCGATCATTTGATTACGTATGTGCCTCCCTTTTTTTTTGCTTGATGCGGTGGATGAGTTTGTTGGGATAGCTTGGCCTTTTTTTTTTCGGGTTGTGGCGGGAGATCACGCTAATCTGACGGGGGGACTGCGCGGTGCACAGAGCCCTCTACCTCCGCCACGACCCCTACGAGACCTCCGACGCCGTCTTCGGCGTCAAGGACTCGCTCGTCGTCGACATCGGCACCGCCGGCCCGCACTACGCCGCCAAGTACCACGTCCCCGAGGACCACGCCCTGCTCACCTACGACTTTGTGCTGGTCTCCGACGCGGAGACGAGTGCGTTGCGCGCGCGCAACTCCAAGGAGGCGCTCGATCGGCTGGGCCGGAAGGTCCGGATTGTGAATGGGTTGCCGGTGCCGGATTTGGATTGATTGGGCTTTGAATTTTTGGAGGGGAGGGGAAGGGGGAGAGGGGTTGGAATTGCTTTCAAGGGCTGGGTTGGTTTGGGTTGGATTCATTGTATATACTCTTTTGTGTGTTTGTTATGGATTTGGTCTTGGTTATGTTTGGTTCTATGTGGGTGGGTGGGTTATCGCGGAGCGTGGGATGGTCGTAGTTGTTGGAGTGGGTACAGTCCCCAAGTTGAAAAGGTAATACTCAATTGCGATATTTCTACCTAGTTTGTTCGTCATATCTTTCAGCTGCCACGGCAGATAGTCCAAATGCGCAAACAGTACTCGGAAAGTGCGGTCGGGAGGGGCGTTCCTGGATCCAAACATAGCCCTCAAATAGCAAAGCGAGGCAGCACGACTGGCCCCTCCACCCCCACCCCACGTCTCATCCAGACTCGCCCAGGGAACCCAATTCCCCGAGGGTGCAGTACACAAAAGTCGGTCAATAGGTGAATAGGTAAACGGTCAATTCACTCCGCGCAACGCGGTTTATATAATGTCAAGGGCAGGGCGATGTAGCGCGGCACCAAGCTGTGGCAGACACTAATGAATCCGCCGCCCCGACGAGGGCTTCAGCAGCGCCTGGAACGACGACTCCAGCGCCTTCTTCAGCTCCTTGTAGCTCACGACGAAGCAGCTCTGCTCGTCGCGGCTCACCAGCGTGACCTTCTCGTCGGACCCGGCGTCCAGCTTGTTCAGGCACGTGAGCACGTGCCCCAGGTCCACGGCGGGGTCGCCCTGCGCGTCGACCTGGTGGAAGACGTAGTCGCGGAAGATCTTGAGGAAGTAGCGCTCGCCGGTCTCGGCCCACTGGCGGTCGTGGTCGTACTCGGGCCGCTCGTTGACCAGGTTCAGCTTGGTCATCAGCCGCACCAGCCGGCCGTTCTCCAGCTCGCGGCTCAGGTCCGAGGTCAGCTGGTCGTCCAGGTGCAGCGCCGAGTCGAAGGTCGACATCAGCTGCGACGAGATCCCCGTGATGAAGATGTCGATGTTGCGGTCCTGGTCCTTCTGCAGCCCGTTCAGCAGCCAGAACACCGAGTTCTTCAGCTGCGGGCTGTACGCGCGCGTGAAGTGCTCCATCGCCTTGGTCGGGTTGTGCAGCACGTTGGGCGCGTTGGCGCCCAGCGTCACGATCAGCTGCCCGAAGTTCACCAGGTCCTGCCGCTGCAGGTCCGCCACCGACCGCTGCGTGTCGAACTGCACCACGTCCAGGATCGCGCACGCGCTGAGCCGGATGCGGTTCTTGCCTGTCAGCAGGATCTTGCTGGCGTCGATGATGCGCGCCGCCAGTCCGTTGCTGTGGATCGCCTTGAGCGCGTTGCCGAGCTGAGTCATGTAGCTCCACAGGATCTGCTCGGGGATGTGCGTGTTCTGCCGGCCGGTGAACCGATTCCCCGCGCCCAGGTGCTGCTCGGCGAGGGTCTTGGACAGCGGGTGGTAGTCCGTCACAAAGATCAAGGAGCTGTCCTGGAAGCTCCGGCTGGTGAAGGCGTCGTGGACGGTCACCACGCTGCCGCTGCATACCCGCTTCCACGCTTGGACGGATCGGATCGCCTTCTCGTTGGTCAGACGGAACCCTGCGTTGAATGATCAGTATTGATACATAACCTGTCAGGCCTCAAGTCACCCTACCTTCTAATCTTCGAAGGGCGTAAAAGTTTCCGTCTTTGCTTGATTGGGCCTTGTATACCCAGCTGGGATAGCCAAAGATGGCTGCATTCTTTTGATGGTTCAGGTCAAGAGGGACGAGAGAGTGGAAGTAATCCACTTGAGCGGGTAGCTGAGTGTCTGTGCGGGATTAGCGGCTGTTACTTTCACATGCGTCACTGTCGTCCGACTTACTGGGTAAGGTCTGCAGTGTGGCCGCTGCTTTCTTTTGTAGTTCTTCGCGGAAGTCGTTCGGAAGGAAGAGATCGTGGACATTTCGCTGGTAGCCCAAAGTGTTTTGACTGTGTGGTCCAATTGGAGCGTACATGTGGTATTGAACCTGGATAACAAAAGGTTCGTGAATGGCCTTCTTAACCTTCAAGAAAACAAAAAAAACTCACAGGTTGCTGGAAGCCGGACTGATTCGCAAAGAATGCGGCACCCCCCAGCGCCGCGGCTGTATCATGTGTGAATGGGTTCGCTTGGACCGGACCGACAGCATTGGCAGCAGAAAGTGGATTCGGCGAGGTCACAAAAGGATCGAATGCAGTCGTCGTGGGAATGGTCGAAGTGCCATTTCCTTGTAGGGAGGCCTATGTTGCAATTATTAGTTCAGGCCCGAAACGACGAAGCTGCCAGAAACCGGTGATTGTGACGAGCAGCAAAAACATTGTATCAAATGCCATAGACGCGACCGTACCATATGCGACCCATCGAAGCCCTGAGGAACGAATTCCTGGACTTCCGCGACAGACCAATCCGGAGTCATCGTTCCCTGTCGCGCAGTTGGCGTGCTGGAGTTGGACCCTTATTGCAGTCAGACGAAAAGCTCTTTCATTGTGAAGTGACGCATGGCATACGTGATGAAATACTCCGTGGTTGGAAAGGGGCTGCATTCGCAGCCTTGGGTGATATTGTTGCCGTCTTTTTCATGGTTGCAGATGCGATAGTGGGAGAGGATCCATTCGAGGATAGTAATGTCGGTGTAAAGCTCGGAGAGTCAACGTTCAAGCGTTTCCTAAGCCACAAATGTCAGCAAGCTGCGAAGATGCAGTAGCTCAACTAGCGCATCGCTTTTGCGCCGGTTCGAGGGTGCTGCCCACCTGTCCGCATATGAATTCACTTTGTGAGGGTCGTGGTTGAATGCGCATCCTGCACCGCCCAGCGTTAGATGGATATTTGGCCCAAGCTGGTGATAGTATGGCAAATACCTTTATCCTCGTATCGACAACGCCCGTAGATCGTGACGTTCCGGCATAGGGTGTCTTTCGCGTTTTCCGCTAGGTCCGCAGAGCACAATATCAGCTGATTTGTCCATGCTGCCACATGCAACCGTGGACAGCCAAAGCTCGCCTCACGCGATAGGAACCATGTAGCTAACCTCGTGCCTTCATCTTAGGCGAGCCCGTTGCCCGACGAGAGTCGTCGAGAGTGGTAGTCGACTTCCCGGTGGAGGCCATGGTAGTTCTTGAATCCACAGTTCGGCGCGCATTAACACAAGGAAATCCCCATCGAGTTAGAGATAAAGAAAGTCGAAAGAACAGACTCTAGAGGAAACCGCATTCCTCTAGGAATAAGAGTATGGTTGGAGTCGATCGGGGCCGACAATAGGGAATGGCTGAATAGAGGTGTCTTGTGGTGTAGAGGTCAAGCTCTTGCCGTCTTCCCTCGCCGGGAGACCCAGTGGTATAATCCGATGTGCGTCAAGCAATGTCTCACCGTCCGTAGACAAAACTTCCGGGTGATATCGTCATGCTATGGTATGGGATGGGGATGGGGATGGGACGAGACAGCGAGGCGGGCATGCGTACCAAGGGCGCGCGGGGGAGGGAGAGGGGAACTCGACACTCGCTCGGGCGGTCTGCCTTCTTCCACTCGGTACTGCCGCTTGGGCACGGACCACCCCATGCATCAAGCGCGCGTCTACTTCCGGTGCCGTGGGCGATGACGGAGCTCAGCTCTCTCTCACCATTGCGGCACTGAGGCCAGCTAAACTTATTCTTGTGACTACGACACTCCTTTGTTTTTCTTTGTTTACTCCGCTGGGCAGGCTATCCTTTTGTCTTTCCGAAGAACCTGTAGTTCATACTACATACTGACGCTCTGAGATCATTGATTCCTTCCACCCTCCAAGGCCAGATCCGCCGTTTCCTGTTTCTCTGCCTGATCGCGGCTTCGTATCATTTTCCCGACATACACCCATTTATGGCCCGGAACATCAATTGACAATGTCCTCATCGGGGCTTGACATATCGCAGCTGTCCGACAGCGAGAGGGCCGGTCTTGAAACTTATATTGCAGTGACGGGCCAGGACCCTCTGGAGGCTATTCCTTTGTTACGACGTTCGGAATGGAACGTGCAGGTAGGCCTCCGAGAACTCAGGCCTCGCTAGTCCACTCTGCACCAATACTAATTCTTTGCCGCTGAAAGATTGCCATCTCGAAGTTCTTTGACGGTGAAGGTCCGGACCCGGTCGAAGAAGCTCGCGCAGCTCTGAATACCCCTCCTCCCAGGCCGACTCGACAGACGCAGAACCTACTGAGCGATGACCTCCGCGCGCAACTCTCCCCATCTACACGCTCTGCTGAGCCAGCTCCGAGGATATTGACCCAATCCGAGGATCAGCCGGTCTATCGCCCGCCCTTCATCCTGGCGCTCCTATTTACCCCGCTCAATCTTCTCTACAGACTTCTGTACAACTCTTTCCGCCTGTTCGGCTCCCTCTTCCCGTTCCTCCCTCGATTCTTCAATACCACAGCTAGTCCCGCGCTTCATGGTTCACGCCGGAATACCAATGGCCGCCGGCCCCTGGGCCCGAAAGATACCGCTGCCCGGTTCATCCGGGAATTCGAGGAGGAGTACGGTACCAACTCGATCGGATTCCTGGAAAACGGATACAACATGTCGCTGGAAAAGGCTCACCGGGACTTGAAGCTTCTCCTTGTCGTGCTGCTTGCCCCGGAACACGACGATACGCATGGCTGGGTCCGCGACACACTGCTCTCGCGGGAGGTCACTGAGTTCGTCACCGACCCGCAGAACGATATTCTCGTATGGGGTGGAAGCATTCAAGACTCGGAAGCATACCAGGTTTCTAACTCGCTACGGTGCACCAAGTTCCCCTTTGCGGCTGCGGTCGTCCACACCCCTAGTGTTTCTTCGACTGCGATGTCTGTCGTGGCTCGCATACCAGGAACCACCTCCCCAGCAGAATTTGTGGAAAAGCTTCGGACCGCCATCGCTCAGAACAAAGAGCCCCTGGAGCGCATCCGCGCCACTCGGGCAGAACAGCAGGCCTCTCGCAGTCTACGCGAGCAGCAGGATTCGGCCTATGAGCGTTCTCTAGCCATCGACCGCGAACGGGCGAGACAGAGACGCGAGGCAGAGGCCGCCCGCCAACGAGAAGAGCAAGAAGCGGCTGAGCGCCAGGCGGAGGAGGAGAAGCGGATCCAAGATCTTCAGCAGTGGAGACAATGGCGAGCCCAGTCGATCGCTGAGGAACCCGGTCCGGACGCCAAGGATGCGGTGCGCATCAGCGTCAGGTTGCCGTCGGGCGAACGCGTCATCCGGAAGTTCGCGCCTGAGGCAAGCATCGATGAGCTCTACGCATTTGTTGAGTGTTATGAGATCCTGAAAGAGCCTGTGGAGGGGACTGCGACCGTCTCGGAACCGGATGGGTTCCAACACCAGTATGGGTTCCGCCTGGTTTCACCTATGCCGCGGGTGGTCCATGAAGTGGGTGCCGGGGGCTCCATTCGAGATCAGATCGGCCGGGGTGGAAACCTGCTGGTCGAACCCATCGATGACGAAAGCGAGGCGGAGGAGGACTCGTGAGCACCATCTACATGTACGATTATCGATTTTGGTTTATTGAGATGATGATTGTGTATGGTATCAATTACCGGCCTCAGAATGGATAACCTTATAGACTCCGCTCGTCCGATGAGAGGTATACACGTGTGTAAAGTATTTCCTGCCCATCTACGGAGTACTCAGTACTCAACTGTAGCATGCAGCGACATGTGCCTGAACCGGCCGCCAGCAGAAGCATGGACCCTTTGGCGGGAGCCGCATGCGCACATTGTGCTACAGCCGACAGCCATCTAGCGGCTTACGGGGACGCCGAGGGCACATGCCAGTTCAATTGCTTCTAGGGCAATTGCTTTTGAAGACATGACCATCTTGCGAGGCTACTACACTTGGCCATCCTTTCAATGAGACTGTCGCATACTATATCCGTATGCTGTGAGTCTGGCTGAGATCAATACATATAAACACTGTTGTGCTGCTCGAGGCCAGCCCGGGATGTTCGAGGTGTATCATCACCGAGTAGAGCCGGTGGGGTGGACGGAAACAACGCTTCTATTATTATTCATACGATAAGCCAATCGATGCTGATCTCCTCCGCCAAACAAGGAATATCAAAGTAGCGGTGGGTTGGGTCCATAGTTACTCGTACATGATACTCATAAATAACTCAATGAGCAACCCGCGGTGAACGGTTGGAGGTATACGGAGTATCAGTGTGACACGGCATAAGCAGAGCAGGATGGGAATGCGTCTTGTGTCACGGAAATAACGTGATGATTGTTTGAGGAAATTCTCCGATGTGCCAGCCAGACTGACGTACTCGAATGCATGTCTTATCGAGTCAGTTATTGATAGGGAGAGGTTGTGGCCTAAGCAGTTGCTATGAGGGCATAGCTGAGTCAGCCAGCCTTATCCCTGCTGCACCGGATCTCCGCCGTCCCGAAGAAGGATCAAACAGGGGAAAAATGGATGGGGCTTCGGATGGCTGGAGTCCCGCCTCTCCGGCCCACTTGGTTGACTGTTTTGGGACAATGGAGTTAATGCCGGCCGCGACGGACTCTCCGCTCTCCGCTTGAACTCTTGAACTCTTGACTTGACTTTCGGGAACCCCCCGATCTTCTTTTCCTTCTTTTCGTTCTTTTGTCCATTTCTCGCCACGTTTTCCTGCTTCTGGCCTAGACTTTTCCAAACTCATTCTTACTCATAGGTACTCATCCCTACGATGAGTCTATCACTAGTCTATGCTATGTGTCAATCTCGCGTCTGGTTGCAGGTGGCAACCCCCCATGCTTACGGCTTGCTACCCAAGGAAACAAGGCTGAGCTGCTTTTCTTACTGTGTACTCGTACCTTGTGACTGACTCTTGACGCTTCAAGTACAAGCGCACTGACAAATCCCGGTCTGTCGTAGTGGCGTTCCCCGTTTCTCGCACTAGCTGCGCCTGAGTCCTGAGCAAGGCAGCAAGCCGATATAGATCATGTCCAATCGAATTACAAGTCCTTCGAGTTATCGTCATTTCTCTTCCCCCCCATCTTGGCTTGGCATGGTTTTGCTCGAACTTCAAAAACGGAGGAGATAATGGAAAGCCTAGAAGGATCTCTCCCCAACCTAATGGGGTCCGACAGGTCCCCTAGCCAGTCACCATCTGCCATTTGCACGCGGGTGCTCACCTATCCGTGGCCTCAAGGGTGCCCTACTCCCTAAATGTACGAGTACCACGTCGGATTTAAATATGGCAATATGCAGCTTTTCTCCGAAAAGGTTCTGCTCGAGCCTCTAGTCTAACCCGTCTCATGTCCCGTATTCCCCTAAGCCAGGAATACGCACGGAGGGTGGGAAGTACCGGGTGGATCTGGGTGTATCAATCTGGGTCCCGACCCGGATGTTGCACTGTTCCTGGTCCCGATTCGCCCATCGCAGCGTAAACTTTTCCACTCTTTGGGGCCTGTAAAATGGGGGAGAGCCCAGATGCTGGCTGCGTCCTGATTGTTGATTTTTCCCCTCTCCGTTTCTCTCACGTCTTCGCCTGTTGTCCTTTTGACCAGCGAAGATCGTGATTCTAATTCCTGGTTGCTTTGACCGATTGACCCCACGACTCGTTAGACTCACTAGTCAGTCGCCAGTCGCCAGTCGCATTAATTTCCACGATACGGGGCATCGGAGCGGCCGCTGGCCCTAATAAGTTATCCACCAAGTACTTTATCCTTAGCGTGCTGCCACTATTTCTCACGCATCTCCTCGCCCGTTTATATTCGTCACTCGTTACGGCCTCTTCCCCCCCTCTTTGTCAAGCAATCGATCTGTGATCGAACGCTTTGCCAACCTTGGACCTGCTAACCCCTCTATGCTTCTGGCGTCCTCTCGTTAATCGGCACAGTCTTCTGAGACTGATCGTCTCATCTCCTAATCACCATGTCGCTTCTAGGCACTATAAACCCTAATGTTAATCCAGCCCGTGGCGTGGAGTCCCACGAGGTGCACGAAAATGTGAACGAAGGCGCAGCAGCAACATCCGCATCCGCTGTGAATGAAGGAACATCCGAGTTGGGCCACCACCACCACCACCACCACCACCAGCACATCACCCACGATGAAGAGAAGTTGATGGCAGAGTCCGGTCTCAGTACACCGGCGCCCGACTCAAGGGGTCGTTGGAGCCGACACACCACTTTCAGCAGCGCCGAGACTGCGCTCGAGAAAGAAGAGGGAGACAAGGGAGATGAAGACAACGAGAGCGAGGAAGTCGCTGCTGAAGAGATCCACCGTCTGGCGCAGCAATTGACCCGCCAATCCACCCGGTTGTCGACTACTGGCGAGAATACATTCCTGGAAGTGAAAGAGGATTCGACATTGAACCCCGCCAGTCCCAACTTCAAGTCGAAGCATTGGATGAAGAACCTTCTTGCTCTCTCCTCGCGCGAACCCGAGAGATATCCCCGCCGTGAAGCCGGTGTCTCCTTCCAGAACCTCAGCGTTCACGGTTTCGGCAGTCCGACAGATTATCAGAAGGATGTTTTCAACTCCGTCTTGCAAATCGGAGCTCTCGTCCGGAAACTTACAGGTACCGGAAAGCAGAAGATTCAGATCCTCCGTGATTTCGATGGACTCGTGCGCAACGGCGAGATGTTGGTTGTTCTGGGTCGCCCCGGAAGCGGTTGTTCGACTTTTCTGAAAACCCTTGCTGGCGAAATGAACGGTATCTACATGGACGAGGCGTCCCAGCTGAACTATCAAGGTATCTCGGCCAAGCAGATGCGAAAGCAATTCAAGGGTGAGGCCATCTATACCGCCGAGACCGATGTTCACTTTCCGCAGTTGACTGTCGGCGATACCTTGAAGTTCGCCGCCCTCTCTCGTTGCCCTCGGAACCGCTTCCCTGGGGTGACCAAGGAGCAGTACGCGCTGCACATGCGCGATGCGGTCATGGCGATGCTGGGTCTGTCGCACACCATTAACACCAAAGTCGGTAACGACTTCGTCCGTGGTGTCAGTGGTGGTGAGCGTAAGCGTGTCAGTATCGCCGAGGCCACTCTGTGTGGCTCCCCCCTGCAGTGTTGGGACAACAGTACGCGTGGTCTGGACTCAGCGAACGCCCTCGAGTTCTGCAAGACATTGAACTTGATGACCAAGTACGCCGGAGCCACTGTGGCGGTCGCCATTTACCAAGCCTCGCAGAGTGCTTACGACGTCTTCGACAAGGTCACGGTCCTGTACGAAGGCAGACAAATCTATTTCGGTCCTACCAATGAGGCGAAGGCGTTCTTCACCAACATGGGATTTGATTGCCCGGATCGCCAGACGACTGCTGATTTCCTGACTTCTTTGACCTCTCCCGCGGAGCGTATCGTCAAGCCCGGATATGAGGGCAAGGTGCCTCAAACCCCTGATGAGTTTGCCGCTGCCTGGAAGAATAGTGAGGCGCACGCCAAACTGCTCCGGGAGATCGCCGAGTACAACCAGCAGTATGCCATCGGTGGCGAGTCGCTTGGCAAGTTCATCGAATCTCGCAAAGCTATGCAATCCAAGAACCAGCGCGTCAAGTCTCCCTACACTATCTCTCTATACGAACAGGTCAAGCTCTGCTTAATCCGTGGTTTCCAACGGTTGCAGGGTGATGCTAGTTTGACCATTTCCCAGTTGGTCGGAAACTTCATCATGGCTCTTATTATTGGAAGTGTGTTCTACAACTTGAAAGACGAGACGGACAGTTTCTACTCCCGTGGTGCCCTGCTTTTCTTTGCCGTGTTGCTCAATGCCTTCTCCAGTGCGCTCGAGGTATGTCTTTACTTGCCTTCGCATCTATCTCCCTATCTGGTGTTTCACCTGCTGACGCTAGATTCCAGATCTTGACTCTGTACGCCCAACGTCCGATTGTCGAAAAGCAGTCTCGTTACGCCATGTATCATCCGTTCGCCGAAGCCATTGCGTCCATGCTCACAGATATGCCTTATAAAATTGGAAACGCGATCATCTTCAACCTTACGCTATATTTCATGACTAATCTTCGTCGGACGCCGGGCGCCTTCTTCGTCTTCCTGCTGTTCTCCTTCGTCACGACCCTGACAATGTCCATGCTGTTCCGTACCATCGCTGCTTCTTCCCGGACACTTTCTCAAGGTTTGTCTTCCGTTCGACTTACTTTCGTCGCGCAGAGGCTGACTTTGAAACAAAGCTCTTGTCCCGGCGGCTATTCTCATCTTGGGTCTGGTCATCTACACCGGTTTCACTATTCCTACCACTTACATGTTGGGGTGGTCGAGATGGATGAACTATATCAACCCTATCGCTTACGGCTTCGAGAGTCTGATGGTGAACGAATTCCACAACCGGCAATTCCCGTGTTCTGAAGATGGTTACGTTCCCTCCGGCAATGGCTATGATTCCCTCCCCCTTGTGAACAAGATCTGCTCGACAGTCGGAGCGGTTTCCGGACAAAAAACCGTCGACGGTGATAGGTACCTTGCTTTGAGCTTCGACTACTACAACAGCCACAAATGGCGCAACCTGGGAATCATGTTCGCTTTCATGATCTTCCTCATGGGCACATATCTACTCGCTACCGAGTACATCTCTGAAGCCAAGTCTAAGGGTGAGGTTTTGCTCTTCCGCCGCGGTCATGCTTCTTCCCCTGCTGCCAAGGATGTTGAATCAAGCCGTCAATTCGCCTCCCCTGAGAAGGCTGAGCAGTCCAGTGGTCAACAACAGAGTGCCGCCATTCAGAGACAGACCGCTATCTTCCAATGGCAGGATGTGTGCTACGACATCAAGATCAAGGGTGAACCCCGCCGCATTCTTGACCATGTCGACGGATGGGTCAAGCCTGGAACCTGCACTGCTCTCATGGTATGTTGATTGGACTTTCTTCTCGCCAGAAACGAACTGTACTAACGTTTATTAGGGTGTTTCTGGTGCGGGTAAAACCACTCTTCTGGATGTGCTTGCTACTCGTGTCACCATGGGTGTTGTCACCGGTGAAATGCTGGTTGATGGGCGTCCTCGTGATCAAAGTTTCCAGCGCAAAACCGGATATGTACAGCAGCAGGATCTCCATCTTCACACTACCACTGTCCGTGAGGCTCTTCGGTTCAGCGCCATCCTTCGTCAACCTGCCCACGTCAGTCGTCAAGAGAAGCTCGACTATGTTGAAGAAGTTATCAAGTTGCTTGACATGGAAGAATACGCCGACGCCGTTGTCGGTGTTCCCGGTGAAGGTGAGTCGTTTCTGAGTACTTTCTTGCTTGTGCATCGATTTCTAACATGGAATAGGTCTCAATGTTGAACAGCGCAAGCGTCTCACCATTGGAGTTGAGTTGGCAGCTAAGCCTCAGTTGCTTTTGTTCTTGGACGAGCCTACTTCTGGTCTTGATAGTCAAACGTCCTGGTCCATCCTTGATCTCATTGACACCTTGACGAAGCACGGCCAAGCTATTCTATGTACTATCCACCAGCCTTCGGCTATGCTGTTTCAACGTTTCGACCGTCTCTTGTTCCTTGCTAGAGGCGGTAAGACAGTCTATTTCGGAGACATTGGCGACAAGTCCTCGACTCTTGCTAGCTATTTCGAGCGGAACGGTGCTCCTAAGCTACCTGCTGACGCCAACCCCGCCGAATGGATGCTCGAAGTCATTGGTGCTGCTCCTGGATCTCACAGCGATATCGACTGGCCCGCGGTGTGGCGTGACAGCCCTGAACACACAGCCGTGCTTGACCACCTGTCCGAACTCAAGTCTACTCTCTCGCAGAAGCCGCTCGACACAAACCAGGCGGATCCCGGCAGCTACAACGAATTCGCCGCGCCGTTCACTGTTCAGCTATGGGAGTGCTTGCTCCGCGTGTTCTCGCAGTATTGGCGTACACCCGTCTATATCTACTCGAAGATTTGCCTTTGCGCCCTGACTGCCTTGTACATTGGATTTTCATTCTTCCATGCCAAGAATACCTCGCAGGGACTGCAGAATCAGATGTTCTCAATCTTCATGTTGATGACTATTTTCGGAAACTTGGTGCAACAGATCCTCCCCAACTTCTGTACCCAGCGTTCTCTATACGAGGCTCGCGAGAGACCGTCTAAGAGCTACTCATGGAAGGCCTTTATGGCTGCTAACATTATTGTTGAGTTGCCGTGGAATGCGCTTATGAGTGTGATCATCTATGTCTGCTGGTACTATCCCATTGGACTCTACCGGAACGCGGAACCGACCGATGCTGTTCATGAGCGTGGAGCGTTGATGTGGCTGCTTATTCTGTCCTTCCTTCTGTTCACCTCGACCTTCGCGCACATGATTATCGCGGGTATCGAGCTTGCTGAGACTGGTGGTAACCTTGCTAACCTGCTCTTCTCCTTGTGCTTGGTCTTCTGCGGTGTCCTGGCAACTCCTCAGCAACTCCCTGGCTTCTGGATCTTTATGTACCGGGTCTCGCCATTCACATACCTGGTGTCTGCCATGTTGTCGACCGGTGTTTCAGGCACCACGGCTATTTGTGACTCCTCGGAGTACCTCCACTTTGACCCCCCTGCCAACAGCACCTGCCTCGATTACATGCAGAGCTATATTTCATCCGCGGGCGGCTATCTTCAGAACGATGATGCCACCAGCAACTGCGCCTTCTGCACCATTAGCGACACCGACACCTTCCTGGCGGCGGTCAGCAGCCACTATTCCGACGCGTGGCGCAATTTCGGTCTTATGTGGGTGTACATTGTGTTCAACATCTTCGCCGCGGTGGGCATCTACTGGCTTGCTCGTGTCCCGAAGGCCAAGAAGACCAAGAAGACCGAGGCTTCTTCTTGAGAGGACTAGACATGTATGGACATGTATAAATGATTTTCCTTGCCCAGCTTTTGTATAATTTGTCCCCATATACATATGTTTGTGTTTCGAATTATCGTTGTTGGACATATCCGGGAAATTCTTGGGGATTGTTTCTAGACGCACATATTTTAGATTCCTCTTCTCTTCTCCCTGGCCCTTCGTCACTCCTTACTCATATATGCCCCATAGGCGTATTCTTTTTGAATGCTTGGCCCCTCTTTCATCCTTCATTCAGGTTCAATCTGCCCGACTTGGGGTTTCTGCTTTGCTGGACCTTTGTCCCTTCACTGCCCCCATCCTTTCTATTTCACTTCCTTTCTATCGTTCATCACTCCACTTACTCATACATCCTCTTCCTATGCTGATACTTATATGTACATGACCTGTCGCCAAGACTCGCCAGAAAAATACATCGAACAAGACATACCCAAACCTCCTACTGTCCAAGATCTTGTCATTCCGAACAGTCGTGCACTTCCCTCCCATTTAACTACTACGCAGTAACCGGATAGACCGCCATAGGTATGGTACAAGGATAACAATCCACATGTCTAATAGTCTTTGTTCAAAGACAACCCTCCCCAAAGCGGACAGCAAAAAAAGCAGCAAAAGGAAGTGTGTCAACGGTGCCGCGAGTCCCGCAGCCCTCGCCAGCCCAGGCTACTTGCTCCCCGCCACAACCGCGCTCAGGCTTTCCTCGCGGAGATGGGATTCCATCACGTATCACCGTGCTCAACGGTTGGAACCGCCTTGTATCGCTATATCGAAGCTCCTCTGGTTTGCGTTGCGGTTGTAGACTACATACATGGCTGCGGGATGGTGGAGAGGAGAGGAGTAGCATCCGGTAGTTAAGGAAGGGGGTGAGTGTACTGATGTTTCTTATGTATAGGTGGTGAAGGACGGGGCTACAGCCCATGGGATTATACTGGGTGTATAGATGGAGGTGCCTTGGAGACCACGAACCCCTTCGATGATGCTGCTGCTGCTGCTGCTGCTGCAGAAGGTGAAAGAAGCCCCGAGCAAATCCCAAACCAGGGAGAACAACAGAACGAGACAATTCACATGCAGCGAAAAAGCAAGAAACGGGGGCATCCGAGAGCGACGGGGGTAGGCTTGGGCTTAGGGTTCCACTCCTCCACGCAAGAATATTCTAGTCTCCGTAAACGGAAGGCCAAGAGTCCGTGTGTCATATGTTCCCCCTAGGGTCCTAATCTACTGACTAGTACGGAGTACCGAGGAGCCAGAATAGATTAAGGTCCCACTGGACGTTTAGTTTAATTGGGCCAGGAAAAGGTTTAGGTAATAAATATCTTTCGGAGAAGTCGGGTGCTTAATTTAGATTTAGATTTAGGTTGGTTTAGGGTCTGAGAGCTAGCTGACTGTAGTGCGTACTCCGTAGAGATAGAGAAGTAGATGGATTGGGGGTCGAGCTATGAATAGCACTTTGGCGGCTGGGCGTGGTGGTCTTCGTTCGTTATTCATCTCAGTGGTACAGTGCAGGGATTGATCGCGGAATCGAGGAGGCGGAAGGACAAAAAGATTTCAAATGCAATCACGGAGTCATGCTTGCGCTTGGTGATCGCTTCGGCTGCTGCGGCTGCTGCTGACGACAGTAAATGGTTGGCACGATGATGATCATGCTTGTAATGAACAATGACTTGTATATATATCTCAAAGAAGAAAAAGGGGGAAAGAATCAAAAGAAAAGAAGAAGTGATGGAAGAAGTTTTGACAAGAATATTAAGGGCGGGTGATACGAGCCATGAAAAGGGGACAAAGAATGTAGAGAGACAAGAAGCTGAGAAGATAAAGACAAAAATGGCTGGGGCTCTAATCACAATAGCATTCACAACAAGAAAGGACGTGGATACAATTTTTAGGGGGAAGGGTTGGGAGAGCGGTGCTGGTCTACCACGTGAAGGCTTCCTCGACGAAATCGACCACAGCACCCTTTCCGATACGAGATCGGGCAGCGGCACGCACTTCATCGGCGAAGGCACCAGGGCCACACACGGATACGACGGTGGCGCCGACGCGCTCGGGAATGACTTCGTCAAGGACGACGTCCGCCTTGCACCGGCCAGGAAACATCTGCACGGTGGCACTGGGCGAGACGATCTCCCGAGAGGACTTGGGCTTCGAGACGAAGAGCTTGATCGTCAGGATCTCCCGGCGGCCCGGCAACCGAAGGATCTGGTCCATCCATTCTCGCACCCAGGCGAGGTGCTCTGTGCTGCGAACGGACCAGATAAGGTAGATCTTTTGAGTCGCGGCACGGCCTTCGGTAGAGCGGATGATGAGATCACGCACGGAGAGCATGTGATGGGTGATACCGGCGCCGGCCGAGAAGAGGACCGCAGTGCCGTAGCTGGCCAGGTTGACGGCGTGAGAGGCATACGGCCCTTCGATAAAGCCCGACAGATGGAGCGTTTGACTGGGTGCTGCGAGGGCTTTGTTGTACAGTTTGCGGGTCATGCCTTGGCGAGCACCCATGATGAGAGACACCGATGTCGGTTCCTGGTGGGCCTTCATGTACTTGTCCAGATTAGAGATGGGCTGCTTCTCGAGGTCCGAAGATGTCCCGGTGACTGCTGGGGCCGTCACAGCCTCGCTGGGCTCAACCCAGGCTACAGAGAAAGGATGCGACATCCAGAGGGCAACGCTGGGAATGTAGGCATACACATGGCTACCTGCACCGACGTGAACACGCTTGGGAAGTTGGAAGGTCACTCTGCAGGCTTCGCCGGGGAGGGCTTCGACCGTCAGGGTTGTAGAACCTTTGCTGGGAGAGATGTTCAGGTATGCTATCCGGCCGAGGCGAGCCAGCCGCTCCAGCAGCCACATCAAGCCAACCGCAATGAGCCAAGGCTTCTGCGGTAGATTGTCAAGATCCAGGTGCATGATGACACCAATGTATGCAAACAGAGCACAAAGTTGGTGGATATGCAAGAAGGTCTCGTAGAAGGCGTGCCGAATTGGGGATGGGGAGTGGAGTCCGAGAACCACCATTGCGACGGTCCCGACTAGTCCCCAGGTGAAGAAAGGAGTGTCACTGAGGCGAGCAAGCATGTCAGCGAAACTAACTTCGTCACATGCATTGACCGCCCATGCGGCCGTGTGCACAACGCTCTCAATGACAACAATCCGGCCGAGCCACCGGTGAAGCAGGTTGTAGGTATCAAAGCTGATGTGCAACAGGGGAATGAGTGGGTTGTTGCGGGCAGCCAGGAGAAAAAGAGGGACCATGTTAAGAACGGCCAGCGTCCCGGAACGACCGCGGAGCTCAGCGACAAGGGCCGCCTTGACGTTCACCCTGTAGTCGAGAATAACACAATAGGCGATCTGACTAGCGAGGTATAGACCAACGAAGATGGTCTGGAATCTGGAAGGCACTGTGCCCACGCCGATGGCCGACGAAAGCTGAAGTTCCCGGTTGTGTCTCTTCCTTCCCAGGGGTGCATACAGCATATGCTTCTTGAAGTTTGTCCAGGCAGGTGATACCTCGACACTCCAGAAAGTTTGTTCTCGTTTGCTTGCCGTCAGAGAGGTGATATGGCGAAGGTAGGCATGGCTAATCTGTGCAATTCGTCCGCAGAACACGACGAACGCAAGGATTGTCAAAGACGCGTAGATGATCTGGGTAAACAGATGATCTCGAGGCACGTCAACTCCGTTCAAGCCTCTTGAATATTCGTAGATGTAAGTGGCATTGACGCCATAGCCCCGAGAGGCTATGTGCTGCCGTACACTATCCATTGGAGTCGCGATAGCCTGCGCAGCACGCTGTGGAGGATGAGTACGGCGACAGGAGACGATGGAAGGGAGGCAACGAGGTCGTGTGGGGTGGTGACTCCAGCGAGCTTCCTAATAATAGCGCTCGAACCGCCTGAAACAGGCCAATGACTGCGTAGACGCAGAGAGCCTGATGGCAGGGGAACGGAAAGAATGTGGGGAAGAGCAAGGGAGTTCCAGGGGATCTCCTGTAAACAGAACCCCAGCGAGAGCGACAGTATCAAAAGTAGCGGACGGCTGCAAGGCTGGTTTGACAGACGAAGATGCTGTTCGAATCTCCACGGACTGTACTTGAGTTGGAACCGTCTGGCAGGTCGTTTTATTAGGCGATTCTGATGATGACGTTTGCCTCAAGGGGTGAGCAAATGACCAAGATGTTGTCACGGGTGATGTCCTTTAGCGGAGCCGAAGAATGTTGAAGACACCAGACAGGATGGCGAAGTTGACGTTTGGGGTCTACCAAGCTTTAGTCTTAGAGTTATGACCAGCGTCATGAGGGGCGAGCCAGCCTTCAAATATACTCACCTTAGATTGCCTACGTGCATAATATAAGAGAAATATTCCAGCAAGGGGATCAAAGACGCGCAGCGTCGCGAATAGTGCAGCGGCTAGGAGAAGAAGCGAAAGCTGCCGGCAAAAGAGAAAGTAACACAAAGCAACGAGAGTGTCTATTGTTGTGAAAAGGACCAATTCCGCCTATTTCATGATAAATGACGTCTGACTGCAGGCAATGATCGGCACAACCCAAGAAGGCAGGGGAAAGCTTGTCCGTTTCAACTCCAGGCACAATAGTCGATTGTTTGAAACAATGAACAATGAATGGATGGATGAGCCGCTCGGTGAAAGAAGAACGACCAGCCAGCTGGCTAAAGGGAAAACGATTGACTGAAGAAGAAGGTAAGAATGGCAATAGGAAGAATATAAAAGAGTGAAGAAGAGGATTCGAAGAACACACGAAAGGTAAGAAGAGATGGAGAAGAAAAATCACTTCTACATTGGGAGATCCACGGCGCAGATAGATACCCTTTAAGCGAAAGAAAAGTACCACATCAGGCAGCGGACCGGGTCTGCCATCAAGCTACTACTCCGTACATACCGAAAGATGACCAATGGCCAGGGCCACAAACCCATTAGCAGGTAACAGTGGCGTGGTCCTCCTGAGAGGGGTTCATCTTGGGCGCCAAGACAGACGTCTGCGCTCGGCCTCGAACCGGTAGAAAGAGCTCTGGAGCGCATTGAGGGCCCGACGATGGCATCGTTGTTTCTGATAGAGATGGACAGGTCTCCAGGCTTGGCCGGGTGTTTAGCGCTCTTGGCTCCAAGCAGCAGCCGCGGAGACGGGGCAAGCTGCAGGCTTGCAGCAGGGGTTGTCCGACCGAGGCGCATCGCTGGCCACTGAACAGCCAGCCCCTGACCGGAACTGCATTTTTAACCGTTCTCACAGGTCCAAAGACGTGCACCTTGAGGGGTTGAGGTTGAATATTCATGATTGAGAGAATTGTATTGGTTTATCGCGACGTCTTTGCATGTTTCAAGTGCTGCAGTTCCAGCTGAAACGCTTGCTCCATATTGGCCAGAGCCATGTTTGGTGGCCCACCGAGATTCCCACTGGCAGGTGAATTCAGCCACTTGACTAAGTTTGGTGTGTTAGCGAAGCTCTTGGGGTGAAACAAAGCTTGGTGTTCACACTGGTGATGGTGGTGATGTTGCTTTTGAGAGAATGATGATTGTTAAATTGAAAGT